ACTTCAGTTCTACCCCCCCCCCCTTCCCCCTCCTATCAATTTTGTACATGGATTTCACATTTAACACTCACCCGGACCAAATATAACGCCCGGGCCTTTTTTAACGTGACACCTCTTTTATCACTCTTTAAAAATTTTGGTTGAAAACAACAAAGACGACCTAGAAGTGGTTTTAGAATTTTCCTCGGCATTCCTCATTCTGCGCTCTCAATAGAATTCACGCGGATTGTATTTCGTAATAGCGGGAAAAGCCTCCTACATAGTCAAATAGAAATGTACTATTTCTCAAAGTCTTTCACATTTATTAAATTTAATTATATTATCTGATCCTGTTTTGATTTTCGTTGTTAAGTTCACGTTCTAGAAGTATCGTATTTTATACTAGCACTGTAATATACCGGCGCGCGTTGCGATATGTCAAAATTTCGGTTTAAAGTTATATTCTGATTTTGATTCGGCACGTCCGTTTCTGGTATTATTAATATATACTTCAGACTTTTTACCAGTGAAAAATCAGCTCTTTTTATCGTTTTCACGAAAAGTTTAAATTTTCAGTAATTATGTTGTAAAAATGATTAACGGGAAACGACCGCACTCACCCTCTCCGTACAGGAACGGAACGAACGGGAGTTCGAACGGTTCCAACGGTTCCGGGGGGTACGGGCACCAAGCCGAGGATAAATCTCTGGCCCAGACCCGACGAAACCTACCAATATTTCCAGCAAAGAAAAGGTATTTAATGCTATCTCTAAATAAAAAGTTCAGGGTGGTTTCCTAGTATAATATTGTTTGGACGGGTCTGTCCTAGTGAACGATTTTGGGTCCAAACAGATAAAGGAAATGTTCGCGAAGAATGAAAGGGGGCATAGGCTTAATGCGATAAAAAAGCGCTTTTAATAGCTACTAATCTTACTTCTATCTGTTGCGTCTATAAGGAGAAAATTGTTAAAAACGACTAACACCGAAGAACGTAGTGTTCATACAAATTCATAAAGATGCAACATTCAACTCGGATCGTAAACAAATCAATTTTATTCCAAACAAATCATTTAGATATTACAAACAATAGTCATAGATTATATTTCGACGCATGCGTAAATAGTTGATATTTCATAATATTTTGTATTTTTCATGATCTGAGAGTTACTTTTGAAAACATTTATTCCTTGTTTAAGGATTTTTGATAATGAAGACGACATTTTCATGTTTTCCAGGAATGTTCGAAAATCCAGCGCCAGCGAAAATTATCTAATTATTTTTTTTGGGGGGGGGGGAAGGGCTGAATTTTCCGTTATTTCATAAACATGTTTGTTCCATTTCATACTAAATTTTTTTTAAAATTTACATCTTTAAATTAGTTTATTTGACTTGCTCAGATTTCTTGAAGAAGCAACCAAACATAATACCGTAATTTTATTGGCTGAGACGGGTACAGGGAAAACCACACAGGTGATAACTTTTAAAACTAATTTCTAAACATTTTATTATATTTTTAACAATTCCGTATATAACATATATTCAATCAATCATTGGTATATTTCAGGGCTTTAGAGAACTATATATTCATTATTTCCCAGAGGTGTATATTTATCAAAATCGCCCCCCCCCCCTCAGAATTTTGATGATTAAAGGGATAAAAATGAATTTAGACACATATTTACCATTTTTGGAGAAAAAAAGATTTTCAAATCAGGGGGGGGGGGTAGTTTTCGATAAAATACACACTCCTAATATTTACCTATTTGTAAATCTTTAAAAATATTATTTTTATTTCCCCACGAAAATATTTTTGTTAGTTAAAAACTCAAGGGAATAGGGGGTGAACCAATGTCTCTTGAACTAATGGCAAAATTAAATTAATGATGGCTCTACCCGATTCCCAATGGTACCCTTTAAAGCTTTGCCTGGTCTGTCAGGTTTAAATTATATATCAATGTTTGTAAACAGTCTCTTTAATTTACTAGGTTCCTCAGTTTATCCATGAAGCACGGTTGGATAGAGAGGGATGTATTGCTATAACACAACCCAGGTACCCTAATATAGATATAAATATATGGAGCTGAACTATATAGAGAATATACGTTCACACAGCCCAGGTACCCTTATATAGATATAAATATATGGAGTTGACTTTTTTAAGCAAAGAATTTGTATTTTACAATGTCTATGCATTCCTTCGTTCTCTAATCTTAGACTAGTAGCAGCAATATCCTTGTATTCTGTCGGCCTCTAATTTTAGACGAGTAGGAGCAATATCCTTGTATTCTGTTGTACTCTAATTTTAAACGAGTAGCAGCAATATCCTTGTATTCTATTGTCCTCTAATTTTAAACGAGTAGCAGCAATATCCTTGAATTCTATCGGCCTCTAATTTTAGAAGAGTAGCTGCAATACCCTTGTATTCTATTGTCCTCTAATTTCAGACGAGTAGCAGCAGTATCCTTGTATTCTATCGGCCTCTAATTTTAGACGAGTAGCAGCAATATCCTTGTATTCTATCGGCCTCTTATTTTAGACGAGTATCTGTAATATCCTTGTATTCTATCGTCCTCTAATTTTAGACGAGTAGCAGCAATATCCTTGTATTCTATCGTCCTCTAATTTTAGACGAGTAGCAGTAATATCCTTGTATTCTATCGTCCTCTAATTTTAGACGAGTAGCAGTAATATCCTTGTATTCTATCGTCCTCTAATTTTAGACGAGTAGCAGTAATATCCTTGTATTCTATCGGCCTCTAATTTTAGACGAGTAGTAGCAATATCCTTGTATTCTATCGTCCTCTAATTTTAAACGAGTAGCTGCAATATCCTTGTATTCTGTCGTCCTATAATTTTAGACGAGTAACTGCAATATTCTTGTATTCTATCGTCCCCCAATTTTAGACGAGTAGCTGCAATATCCTTGTATTCTATCGGTCTCTAATTTTAGACGAGTAGCAGCAATATCCTTGTATTCTATCGTCCTCTAATTTTAGACGAGTAGCTGCAATATCCTTGTATTCTATCGTCCTCTAATTGTAGACGAGTAGCAGCAATATCCTTATCTAAACGTGTAGCCCAGGAAACCCAGACAGAACCTGGTGGTCTTGTGGGATACAGGTAGGATGGAAAATGTTTATTTTTTTCTGTTAATTAAGATAATACTTTTTTCAATTTATGACCTCAGTATCAAAATTATGTTAGCCTCCCATATCATATTAGATTATCTTCAAGCTTTAGCGCCAAAATAAACACATAATACTCGAAAAATAGCCTTTTCTGCAAGAAAATTTTTATACAAGTCTTATTCAATTTTACAAAATGATTCAATCTTCTTAAATTTTCTGATTAGTCCCGAAAATCGTAATTTAGACCCATTGACGATCTAATATGATATGGGACACCCTGTAGTTAACTAGGGACGGCTAGTTGAATTATCTTTCACGCTTGTCAAACCTATCTTCTTAAAATTCTATATACAGTGTTTCGAATATTAAATAATTTTCTAAGAATTCCTTTTTCATTACTCAATTTGTTCGCGAAAAGAATTTTTTAATGTCCAGCTGATTTTGATTTTCGGTAACCGCTGAAATCCAAGGGTTCATAAAATTCAATGCGATGATAAATGAAATTTTATCATTGTGAAAACCTATTATTAATGGTATTATGAAAGTTAGAAATAAAAATAAAAAAAGTTTAAAGTAAAAGCACATACTCTGCAGTCTGTGCAGAAGGAGATTCGCCGAACATATTCACAATATGATTATATGAATTTCTGTCCAAGTCCCAAATTGGAATCCAACTTTTTGTTCTCATCCATGTGCTGGAATTGAGTTAAACAAAGAAGAAATTAATTCATGAATAATTAGTTGAGTAGCTTATCTTTTTCACTAATTCTTCCTATCTCAGGGTTAGATTTGAAGATGTGACAAGTAATAGTACTAAGATACTCTTCCTCACTGATGGAATGCTTCTCCGCGAAGCAATGGTTGATCCTTCCCTCTCAAGGTACAAATGTTGATTGATTATTATTTTTTTCAATCTTTTTTCTCCATTTCTTTCTTACTTTCCATACTTCAATCCAACATTTGGGATATTTTTGATATTTTTCCTTTTTTACTGTATTACCACCCAGACCTCTGTCGTCTTCAAAATTTTTCAATAGAAGGACTAGAAATTACGATGTTTGTTCTTAAATTATATTTTCAAGAGATTGTCGTTATTATTTCAAGTGACCCTCCATTTAAAGACTAACACGGTCCCCTATAAACCTAAAAGATTTCGTCGTTTTTCACACCTGCGTCTTCGTAAAACAGACGACGATTGAAAGATTGTAAGTTGATAAGAAATTAAGTCTTCTGTCCATCTAAGAATTCACATTCACGATTAAAGTGACCTTCCCCCCAGATTCACAACGGTACCCTTTAAATAGACTTTTATCGTGGAGAAAGATCATTTCCCCAATGCTGTGTAAAATGCCTGAAATTAGAGTGCACGCTTGTATACTTTGAGAACTCAAAATATCTAGAATATTCTATATAGTACACGGGTTTCTTGGCTCATGAGCAGACTGTAAACACTGATATATTGTTTGTTAGGTATACTTGGATAATATTGGATGAGGCTCATGAACGGACTGTAAACACTGATATATTGTTTGTTAGGTATACTTGGATAATATTGGATGAGGCTCATGAACGGACTGTGAACACTGATATATTGTTTGGTGTTGTTAAAACTGCGCAGAAGGAAAGAAGACCAGGGCAAAACTCAGATCTTTCTCCATTAAGGTAAAAAAAACCAAGTACTTAAATCAGTGACTTAGGATTTGTCCATGTTCTTTAGTAACTACACTGGAGAACAACAGTATTTGAATCGATTGTTGGTAGTTCATACGACCCAGCTCAAATTCATTAAATTCGATCCCTGATATGTTAATTTGAATATATTGAAACTGTCAAGGGTTTGATTCATAGAGAACCTAGAAATGAATATTTCCAGGCGTTGGAAAAGGATGAAAAAGGGAACGACAGGGTGGCCAAAATGTACGGATTGTACGGATTGTTTTTCGAAAATTGTACGGATTGTACGGATTTCTTCTGAAAATGTACGGATTTTTGTACGGATGGGTTCAAAAAAGTTTTGGCCACCCTGGAACGACAACTTTCTATCTTCTTAATACCTTTCTTCAAACAAAAAAGAGACAAATTACAGCCATAATGCGCCTCAATTTTTCTTCCTTCTACATGCTTTGAAAAGTATTTTTATCTAAAATAAGTATTTACCCCTGGTTTTCAAAACAATTGGACAGTGTTTCTTTTTAAAAAACTTTATTGTACAGGGTGGTTGTGATGTCTGCTACAGTAGATGCGGACAGGTTTGCTCAGTACTGGCATTGTCCTGTTCTATATATAGAGGGTAGACAGTTTCCAGTTAATATTAGGTAAATATTATGTTTAGTACAGGGGAAAGGGGTTGTTTTATTTAATGGACTATTGTGATAATTTAAATTATCCTCCATTTCAAAAGAGGGGCATGTCCTAACAGTACCCCTGAAACCTAAATCTGATCAAAATAGTATTGTTGTTTTCTGACTTGTGTTTAATTCTGATTAAAGTACGAGAATCTAAATACATTACAGATTTTATGACTGAACTCAGAGGAATGAACAGAAAAAAAATAGTTTTTATTTAATTGTAAACTGTAATTCAGTATCTTTTTTAAAAAAAAGAGTTGTTTATGTCCAATTCTTTAAAAGGTTTAAATACCCCTTCTTAAACAAGCGTTCCCCTCCCTCTCCCCCTCATTTACACAAAAGTTCGTTAATTAGTTCCACGTACATCTAGACAGTTTGTTTTTAACCTTTGTGACAGAAACAATCTCAAGGAATAATAATTGTCTTAAACATTTTTTTAAAAGTGAATACTTGCAAATTATCTTTTTTCCATCTGATAATCTGAATTCGTTTCCATTATTTCCATTTTTATTTTATTTTTATTCTGAATAATCTTTTATGTTTGTTTATTTTCTTGTGATTTTTAACATTTTTTTATTTACGCAAAAGTTCGTTAATTAGTTCGACCCCCACCATCACTTTATACACATACATCTAAACAGTTAGTTTTTAACCTGTGACAGAAACAATCTCAAGGAATAATAATTGTCTTTAAAAGTGAATATTTGCAAATTATCTTTTTTCCATCTGATAATCTGAGTTCGTTTCCCTTATGTCCATTTGACAGCCCAAATTTTTATTTTGAATAATCTTTTTTGTTTGTTTATTTTCTTGTGAATTTTAACAAACTTTTTAATATTTTTTTTTATCGATTTTGATGGTTATTATATCGTTAGAACTGACGAGGGTCAACCCAGACCGAAATATATTTTCAATAAATGTGGAACTAACATCTATTTTTTTACTCTACAGAGGTTTGGTCCATCACCATCACCGAATTTTAGATTTCTCCAATGTTTCCGAATGCTCTCGTGTCACTTTTACAGAGAATTCAGAAATTAAACACGGATTCCTAATTCAAACTTGATCAGATAAAGCTTTGAAAGGTACTGTTGTGAATCTAACATGCAACTCATTTGTTTTAATGAAACAACGCAACTCGTATTTGTTTAGAATTTAAACATTTTTTTTGGTTATTTGGTGAATTAATATCCAGTTAAGGGCATTTTGAGAATATCTGCATAGATTCACTGAGTAACTATTTACATCACTATTTTTGCTCAAACACTGTATCCAGCATATCGTTGGTAAATGTTTTTAACATTTTAGGATTTAAAGCGTTTTAACTTCTCCCGGCAAACTGTTCCATAAATTCACTACAATTAGACTAACGAAATTGGGTCTCAATTCCAGTCTAGATCACGAGTGCATCAGATTTAGTGGATGTGCAGTTAGACGAGTTAGTCTTTGTTCACCTGATCCGACTATATTAAACCCTGTAATATTCTTTACATCATCAAAACCACGGATAATCTTAAATGTTTGTAGCATGTCGATATAGATTTTTCTGTTCTTCAAGGTCAAGTCTGAGTTCTTAACGTTTATCTTCATGATTTCTACCTTATTACAAATTACAGCTTATTGAAATGAGAAGGCTAAGACGAAGTTCTCTATAATTTAGCAAAATGACAGTTTAAATCTGAATGGGATTTTTTTTTTACTTTTATTCAGACATATAAGCCAACCGACTGATGACTGGCAGCGGAGTATGATGTCGACAATATTTCAAATACACTCCACAGCTCCTGAGAGAGAGGACATACTTGCTTTTATGACAGGTTGGTCAAAGGGACATATATTTTATTATTTAAGAACTAAATATCTCCCTCCCCCATGTCCACCTTTTTTTACGCAATTATTGAGAAAATATAGTTGGTTTAATTGATTTCTTTAATTCCAGGGGTGTGTTTTTTTTAATGCCACCCCCCACTTTTGGAAAAAAAAATTATCAAAAGGGGGGGGGGGGGAGGGATGGAATGATTTTCAGAAAAAATATACACCCCTGTTTAATTCTTTAAGGTTTTTTGTTTTGACAGTTAGTTAAAAATCGGAATTTTTATAGCGAAGTACTTAGAGTATTTGATTAGGTCAAGAGGAAATAGAAACAGCAGCGCGGCAAGCACGTATGCTTGCGCGTGAGTATCCGAACGCTCCTCGGCTGGTTGTGTGCACCCTTTACGCTGCTCAGTCTTGTGATATTCAACAGAATGCTCTGCGGCCAACACAGGTATAAAGAAAAGACGCTACTAAAGGGGGGGGGGGGGAGGAATTAGTTGTGAGTAAAACTTATAGACACACCGCAGATCACTTTTTAAAAAATAAAAATTTCAAAATTATATCAGAAAAAAAATTATGGGTCACTGTTTCCATGTAAAAATTATCTTACTTTTACTTTTATTTTATCTATTTTGAGGAATACATCTTGGAAATACTCAATTTATGGTTTTTAGGCTGGAGGCAGGAAACTGGTCCTTGCAACCAATATTGCGGAGACAAGTTTAACCATCCCTGGAATAAAACACGTGGTGGACTCCTGTAGGGTTAAAGCTAAGGCCCACCAGGCTAAAGTTGGACTAGACATGCTGAAGGTGAGATGCCGAAAATTCCACTAAATAATGATCTGATTCGCTTCAAAGTTTGATTAGTTTGATTATGATTAATTAAAAAACTGTCTTCATTTAACGCAACGATTTTTGATAATCTTGTACTGGATTTAATGGGGTGCCGCGAAATTTTTGCCAAGAAATTTTGCATAGATTTTTGCAATACGCTTCCTTTTTTTCAAGGCTTTCCAAATAACTATTCAAATGACCGGAAGTAGGTCTAAATATAGATTTAGTCCAGTAAAGGTAAAATAAGGCATTCAGGCAGTATGTCTGCCTGAGGACTCAGGCTGTAGGTATAAAAAGCCCGTTTTGAGCCTTAAGTGAGGAGCAAGTGTTAGTTAAAAAAGTAAAAAAATTGAACAGCGTTAGACCAATACTTTTTGAATTATCTCCAAAAAACGTCAGAGGGGGGGTCCCAGGGACCCCCTCCCCCCAGCCGGAATAGGGTTATGAGCTTTGCTTGATCAAGGATAAGCAAGACAAAAGTGACTGCGCTGCGCATTTATGCTTTAGAGTCAATTTCAGCTTTGTCAGAATTCAGCATGTTTTGAGATTGAAAAGTTCTTGATTGTTACTCAGAAAGAGGATTAGAGGGTACTATTGAGAATAGAAAATTCTTTTAACGGAGAAAAATGTCCTTCAAATCTTATTATCTGTAGGTTGTGAAAGTGTCCCAGGCTCAGGCCCTGCAGAGGACAGGTCGAGCTGGCCGGGAGAGGGATGGAGACTGCTATAGACTACTCACTAAAGTAGAGTATGATCAACTACCTAGAGCAACGGTTCCAGAGATATTGAGATCTAACCTGGCCAGCACAATTCTAACAATGATGAATATAGGTTAGTACCGATCCTAATTCCCTATTATTCCTACCTTCCTATTTAAAAATATATTCTCTTTCCAACTAACATTTTGCTCTCCTATTCTCCTTTCTTTTAATTTTGTCCAGATTTTTCATTTATCATTTTTCATTTTTTCTTAACTTTGTTTTCTATTCCTTCCATATTCCAAATATATATGCTTTTTAGGAGAAAATCGCTAAAATCTAATTTTTCATTTTTCCCAGATTTTCAAAAGTCATTTCTGAGTTTGTCGAATTTTTTCTATTTTCTTATAATGTCTAATTTTAGGTATTAAAGATGTTCCTAGTTTTGATTTCATGGATCCTCCTAAACCTGACAGTTTAAACTCCGCCCTTCGTCAGCTGTCTCTCCTTGGAGCTGTTGAACTAAGTGGAGGAGGGACAAGGCTTACCCAGCTGGGGGAGAAAATGGCAGGATTCCCTCTAGATCCAAGGTAGAGCCTAGTTTATATTCAAATCCAGGATGAACAGAATTAATATTGCCTATTGTCTAATAACTAGATTTACCAACTGTGTGCTGTCTGCAGAACAGCTAGGATATTGTTTTTTTTCTAATAACTAGATTTACCAACTGTCTGTTGTCTGCAGAACAGCTAGGAAATTGTCTATTGTCTAATAACTAGATTTACCAACTGTCTGTTGTCTGCAGGACAGCTAGGATATTGTCTATTGTCTAATAACTAGATTTACCAACTGTCTGTTGTCTGCAGGACAGCTAGGATATTGTCTATTTTCTAATAACTAGATTTACCAACTGTCTGTTGTCTGCAGAACAGCTAGGATGTACGGAGGAAATGTTGTCTATTGTATCCTTGCTCACTGCAGAGAATGTTTTTCAGGTTAGTGGAAATAATTTGTTGGAATATTAAGTGTAACTAGTTGAAATTTTTAATTTTGCTAATATAAAATTATGATTGTGAAAGAGACAAATATAAACTTAAATATTAGTAAATTTGTTGTAAAAGAATGAAGTTTCAGGGCCCACACCATGTTTATTTGTAGGTTCCAGGGCCCCGGGATAAACGGGAGGAAGCGGACATGGTACATAAGAAGTTTGCTACTAGCGAAGGAGATCTAATAACTTTATTAAATGTGTGGAGAGCATATAGGTTAGTTTATAACTAGTTATTTTTGGCAATCCATGAAGATAACTCGAAACTCTTACTGCAGTTGTAAAAAATTAAATAATTCACGATATAAACCCGGTTTGATTTATTGATTGATGATAGATTGGTTTATTAATTGATTGAAAGTATGAATAATTGATATGTTGATAATTAGGAATGGTCCTAAGACCCCGGGTTGGTGCAGAAGCCAGTTCTTGATTCCCCGACATCTGACCTTTGCTCAGGATGTCAGGAAACAACTTGTCGGGATCTGTCATAACGCCGGTCAGTTAACTTATCAACTTTTAACTATAATAACATATTTTCTTAAATTCATCTTTATGTTTAATTTTTTCCATTAAGATCTATCTTCCCCTGACATTTCTTAATAGTGCTTTCTATGCGCTTCTTGCGAGATTTCTTGTGTTAATTCTAGGTTTTAAATTAAACTCCTATTTGTTTGCACAATTCATAATTTTCCTGGTTTTCCGTGTTCATCATGGGAATTCTAAACTTTTGTTCAATTATTCTTAAAAAGGAACAATTTTTAATTCTGACCGTTCAAAAAGATCTCTCCTGCGGTCATTTGAGATCCCATAAAACGATTAGGCATGATCGGAGTAACCACCGCTTTGACGTATTAATAGACCTGGGCAGCCCATTCTTTCCGACATTTAAAATATTTAAAGTTTTATTTCGGTTTTCAGAAGACTTAAAAATATCACTTTATCTGAAAAATTGCATGATCTTTTCTGTACAAGTTTGCTTTTATTAAATTTCTCAATATTTTGACTCAGGCAGAAGTTATGAGATATTAAAGGCATTACAATCGTAATTTCAAGTTGCCCTCTAAGCAAAGATGCCGATGCCCGATTTCCAACAGTAACCTTGAAATCTGATCAGCGACGTGGAATCTAACGTCGTTTTATGGACTCGACAAGTTTTTACTTCTCCAAATATCTCTTGCTTTTTATTAGCATGAAACCGCAAAAGAAAATAAACAGTTTAAAGAAACAAAAATAATTGAGATATAATTCATGCTTTATCAGACAAAGCTTATAAGAGTACCATTGTAAATCGGACATTGCCATCTTTGCATTGAAGGTCACTAAAGATTACGCTCACACATAAGCATTTCCTACGGAAAAAAACCTTTACGAAAAGCTGACTGTTGAGATAAATATTTCAATATTGTAGGTGTTGCTATACAATCCTGTAGAGATATGGAAGTAGTGCGGCAAGCAGTAGCTCGTGGACTCTTCATGAATGTTGCACAGCTCAGTGCTGAGGGTCATTATGTTGCACTGGACAGTGGTCAACACGTTCATATTCATCCTAGTAGTGTTCTCTTCAGGTTTGTACTACGTCATAGTCAGATACTATCATTTATAAATCTATAATTTATTATTTCACTTTTTGATGAGTTTTATTCATCAACCTTTTACCTTTTCTCCGATACAGAGATTTTAGCAACCAATTAAACACTTAAGGGGACTTACTATTGTAAATTTGTATTGTATTGTATTGTATTGTATTGTATTGTATTGTATTGTATTGTATTGTATTGTATTGTATTGTATTGTATTGTATTGTATTGTATTGTATTGTACTGTACTGTACTGTACTGTACTGTACTGTACTGTACTGTACTGTACTGTACTGTACTGGTATTGTATTGTATTGTACTGTACTGTACTGTACTGTACTGTACTGTATGTTCAGGAAGAAACCTGAGATTGTAACCTATACAGAGATGGTGGCAACTAATAAAACCTATATAAGAGGACTAACTATTGTATCAGAGGAATGGTTGAGTGAACATCAAGCAGACTATTTCAGGTATTATTAATAAAATAAAGAGACTGTAGTTGAAATTTTAAGTACCCTCCATGTAATAAGGGGCAAGCTCATAGCTCAACTAGCTCACAACAGTACCCTCAAAACCTTTATCTTATCAAAAAAGATTTAGAATTCGGAAACAAGTTAATTGAGCGATAAATAAACCTAGCTATTTAAAAGCTATCAATTAAGTATTTGCTTGCTGAATGATTTTTAGGTGAAAATCAAAGAATTTTCCCCCAAACCCTCGAAAAATCATTAATGTTGAGTAATATACCCCCCTGAATTAATGTTGAGTAATATACCCCCCTGAATTAATGTTGATTAATATACCCCCCTGAATTAATGTGGAGAAATATACCCCCCTGAATTAATGTTGAGAAATATACCCCCCTGAATTAATGTTGAGTAATATACCCCCCTGAATTAATGTTGAGTAATATACCCCCCTGAATTAATGTTGAGTAATATACCCCCCTGAATTAATGAGTAGAATAGTTTTCAAATCTTATTAAGGGATTAATGTGAAATATATTTTACTTGTTGCAGGAGTCACAGAATTACAAGATGAAGAAATATCTTCTTCAGAATTGGAACATTTCAGATTCCATCGATTTGATTTCACATGTGATATTTAAATTTGCATATTGTACTTTTTACTTGAATATTAGGTTTTGTAAAATAAGGATTTGGCAACAAAATCTCATTGAAATATGAAACATAAGATTGGAACTTTTGTGAAGATCATTAACCCTTAATCTCGATATCCAACGTGTTCATCACTATTAAAGGGAGTGTTCACGAAAAATGAAAGGGGGTATTGGCGATTATTTTTCGCCATAAGCCAAGACACCCTTTCATATTTCACGAACACTCCCTTTAAAGAGGATATTAATCCAAAGGTCTGAACAAGGTCAAATCTTGATTCAGAGATTCTCAACACAAAAATTCTAATTTTTGAAGGATATATAAAAAACAGCAAATCTTTTCTAACATTTATATGTAATTGCACCTTTTTCTTTCTAAAATGACTTACCCAGTCTGTCATCAACTTTAAAATTTACCTCATAGAAGGAACAAACTGTTCCCTTTCAGTCATCAGCGATCGATATTGTTAATTTTTTTCTAGAAAAAAATGGTTGACAAGACCGATCCGGTTGTTAAAGACGACATTGAGGTAAAGCGTCATTAGTACTAAAAAGAATTGATTATATGTATTTTTTTTTGGCTCAAAACTGAAATCAATTTAAGAATTTGCATCAAAATTTTAACAATATATTTCAGTAAAAAGCGAATATGCCGGATTAAAAATAAATATGTTTTTAATAGATTGGCGGAACCTACATGGTGAGGAAGGCAGATGAAAACTGGTGTTTGGCGGAGGTTATTCAGAAGAGGTTGACAGAGGCCGGAGACAAATACGAGTATTACGTTCACTATGAGAACTTCAATAGGTAACAGATTTTTAGCCAAAGTAGATTCTATAATCGTAGACAGGTTTAGTTGAGTAGGCAGGCGAATTAAGGAAATACCTGAACAAAGGAAACTGTAGGATTCAACTTAATGAAATATTAGGGGAATGCAAGGAAATGATTCAAGCATGTGATGCAAAGATGAAATCATAAATATGATTAAAATTAGACGATGCTTGAAAATTATAATAATGAACGTATTAGTGGCCCACTTAGAGTAGACCAATCGGATTTAGATCGGGTTGATGTGGATTTCTGAAATTTATTTAGGATTAAAGGGAGTGACCGGCTTGACACGGTAATTGAGCTGAGAGTGCAGTATTGTAGAGAAACTTTAAGATTCCTTTAAAACCAAGACTTATTACGGTGTACAATTGCTGAACAAACGCTTAAATTTCATCTTTGACAGTCTCCCGATTTGTCCATTTTGGAGAAAAAAAATGTTCTACAAAACTACACTCTCAGTTCAATTTACATGTCTAGCCGGTCACTCCCTTTAATTAAGATGATGTAAATTTAGTTAGAATCATGAATAATGAAGGTTTAAGTATACATGTTTTGAATCTGTTCAGGAGATTGGATGAATGGGTTCTTAGAGATAGAATTATGCACTCAGGATATGATGGAAATGATCATGAAATTGGACAGGTAAATTTATTCAATCTTAAAAATTTAGTTTTCTCGCCGTATTACAGAAATGTTGTGAAACCGGATTTTAAGGTTTATTTTTTTTAAATGGGTCAATTTAAACGATTTTTGGGGAAATAAATTTATTGGGCGAAAATTATCCATCGTGCTAGTTTGTTTCGAATGTTTTTATATAAATCTCTTCAAATTTTCGAAAAGAATTTTCCCCGAATGTACCCTTAATTCACTTTAAAATTAATATAGTCTTATATCAATAGTTGTTTCTAGGTTCTTAATATCTAGGAGCTAGGAGAGAATTCAGACCGGAAGATCACCAGAAACCAAAAACGGAAACACGATGAAATCAACCACGTGGAGAAAACCTTCGCGGAAATGGATCCCACTACTGCCGCGCTGGAGAAGGAACATGAAACTTTGACCAAGGTAGAAACTAAAATGACAGTAAAAGCATAATTTCAAGTGACCCTCCAAGCAAAGATTGCAATGTTGGATTCACAACGTTACCCTCAAAGTTTGTTCTGATCAAACATGAACTACAATGCAATGTTTATAAATTTGACAACTGACTATAAAGTTGTGATTATTCTACTAAAGTGGCTTGCGTATTTTTACTGCAGGAAAACATATGGGAATTATTAGAATAAAAGCACTTCAGTTTTTTTGATAAATGACAATATGTTCCGCATTATTGACCGAGGGGAGGAAGACCAGCCACAACAACTTCTCGTTCGAGCCACATTATCCTCATTTTCTCGTCCGAACCACCTCAAAATCCTCGTCCTTCGTTTATTATGTAATGAAAAGATTCTAATTCTTGAAGATTAAACTATTTTTAACAAATCTGGCCACGTTAGGGTATAAAATATGGATAGACTAAAGTATTGCAATGATTAAATCATGTTTGAATCTTTAAAGACATGAGAATGATGTCAAACTTATTAAGGTAAAACTTAAAACCCTTCTGCCACCGTAACCTTCGCGATATGAAATAAACAGCAAAATATTTGGCATACCTATGCCTACAATTTTCCCCATGGAACCACCCGGAAAAAATCTATGCTTTTCACTATAATAAAGAAAAAAATATTAAAGTTCTATAATCTCGGAATTATTTGCGGCATTCTACACCAAGAATATCTGAAAATGCGCGTAAAAAAGATAACATTTCTAAAGGACATAGAACTCAAAAACTATAATTCAATTGAAACTATTTTTTTCGATTCACTAAAATTAAATATTTGATTTATGCCCTAACATGGCCCGATTCTTAAAAAATTGTTTTATCTTGGAGGATTAGACACTTATAAAAAATAATATTGGAAGGACGAGGATTTAGAGGTGGCTCAGACGAGAAAATGAGGAAAATGTGGCTCGGACTAGAAATTGTTGTGGCTGGCCTTCCTCCCCGTCATTGACCAGTGTTTCCTTGTGAATAAGGCAATGTTGTAGTTGCCAAGAGGGGCATTTGAAATTATGCCTACAATCCCTGAAAGAGCTTTAAAACGTTTTTTTATCGAGGATGTTGTTAAATAAGCAGATGGAGAAATTTAACTAGTTGCATGTTCGATTATACAACGGTACCATGTAAATCTCTTTCTTAGTATCAGAGAGGACGATATTGCCATTTTCCATTTAAAAACGTTTTGAGGCCTATAATATAGCTTAATTCAAAAATAATCAATTTTCCGAGAAAGTTTTCTCATCAATTCCTTGATAAGACAAAGCTGAATCGGACAGTTACTTTCCACTTTAAGTACTTGCAACTTAACTACAATACAATTATTTCCAGGTTAAGTACATAGACCGAGTACAAGTTGGTAGGTTTGAGATAGATACTTGGTACTTCTCCCCCTACCCTGAGGAGTACGGAAAGTGTTCTAAACTATGGATTTGTGAGTTCTGTCTCAAATATACTAGATTAGAGAAATCCTACAGATATCATCAGGTTTAGACTTAAATTTTTTAATGTTTATCATAGTTCATATTATCTTTTTATTCATCAGGCTGTGACTCGATAATTATTTTTTAACGATAATTTTCTCCATGTGACTTTATAATTCTCTTATTGAGTTCCTTTTACAAAAGAAAATGCCTCTTTCTTTACTTTTTTCATCCGTTGATTTTACAATCTAATATAGTGAGAACAAGAAAAGTGATGGATAGGCAGATAACAACACTGAAGCAATAGTTGTTACAAAACTAATACCTAAAAAGTTTAAAAACCGACTTATTGACTATTTGATTCAGCATAGTATAAGTTTGAAATATAAAGAAAATAAGTTCCTCAATGATGCAATTTTTATATTTTTTTGGTATTAGAATATTTTTCTTCTATTATTTTGTAATATATTTAGTACGAGTGCACACAGAGACAACCAAATGGAAAGGAGATTTACAGGAAGGGATCAATATCGATTTATGAGGTACGTGTCAGTTTTTGAATAGTAGTGTACTGAGCTCAGAACTCATGTTTTGTGGATATCGAGATTAAGGTTTGAGCTCGATCTTTTGTTAATCTGCAGATTAATTTAATCTTTATTCGATATCCCGCATGGTCAAGAGGTGAGGGAAGCTTTGATCATGGGAGGAATAACTAAAATGAGGATCTGGGAATATGTTTTTATTGAACCTCTAATTAAAAGTGCACACATTGGATATTGAGATCAAGTGATCGGGATTATGAATATTCCAACACAAAAGTTCTGTTTGGATGGAAATGGATTGATTGATTTCGTAATTGCATACATTTTTATTCAATGTTGATTGATTGGTAGTTTCATGGTTCATATGAAGAATTTATTGATTTTTGTGTTTTCTTCTGTTTTATTGATTCGGTTAGAATTTTTAATCAATTGGTAGTTGATTGATTTGGAGGCTGGAAAGTGATTTATTGTGTCCTAAAAGATAAGGTAATCCCATCCCTACAATATGTGATGTGATTTGAAAACTGACTGACTGATTGATTGATTGGTTGTATGCTAGATGGATAAAGTGATTGAATGATTGATTGCAAGGTTGTTATTTAATTACTTAGTAGTAGAATGATTGATTGTTATTATCTGTTTATAAGCGGTGTTAAAAACTTGAAAAATCTTAGTAACAGGATTCTATAAGAACCACTGTAATGTTTTAGCTTAATGTTCTTTTTTTTAAAGATACCCAGGCAAAACTTGGTTCCCAAGCTAGTATAATATATAATTACTAGTTGATGGGATTTAGTTTGCTTGATTAATTTTATAATGTTAAATTTTAGGTGGATGGGAAGGATTACAAACTGTATTGTCAGAACCTTTGCCTGCTCGCCAAACTGTTCCTGGATCATAAAACTTTATACTTTGATGTCGAGCCCTTCATTTTCTACATACTCTGTGAAGTGGACAGGTAATAAAACTATATACTTTGATGTCGAGCCCTTCATTTTCTACATACTCTGGAAATTTTTTCTATAAGATATGGAGTTCATATTGTTGGATATGGATATTTCTCTACAGAAAATATTTATTTAAGATATGGAGTTTATATTGTTGGATATGGATATTTCTCTATAGAAAATATTTATTTAAGATATGGAGTTCATATTGTTGGATATGGATATTTATCTATAGAAAATATTTATTTAAGATATGGAGTTTATGTTGTTGGATATGGATATTTCTCTAAAGAAAGTATTTATTTAAGATATGGAGCTTATATTGTTGGATATGGATATTTCTCTTTAGAAAATATTTATTTAAGATGTGGAGCTCATATTGTTGGATATTTCTCTAAAGAAAATATTTATTTAAGATATGGAGCTCATATTGTTGGATATTTCTCTAAAGAAAAGGAATCTCCGGATGGGAACAATGTTGCCTGTATCCTTACTCTCCCACCATACCAGAGAAAAGGAAACCTAGATCTTTCAAACAAATCAGTTTTTAATTCAGGGGTGGTTATTTTTTTATGAAAAAATTTGTATTTTCCCTTTAAAAATCCTTCTTTTCTTCTTCAATTCAGCGCAAACATACCTGCAATATGGGAAAAAAATGATTTTTGAGCAATATGTTTGTAACAAACAAAGAGATACAAATACGATTGCAGACCACAACAATACTAAAAATATGCAAAAATTAAAAAACTTTATCACAATTTTTAGAATTCGAGATATATTTATAGCTTTGATCATCTTTTACATTTAGAGTTTCGTAATAACTCGTTTAGATTAAAATATTTTTTTGAATTACAAATCAACGATTAATTGTTTGATGTCTGTGGTTCAAAGGATACGGGAAACTGTTGATTGCTTTCAGCTACGAACTCAGTAAACAAGAACAGGTAAACTTTATTGGGAATTAATTGACCTTGATTGACCTTGATTGACCTTGATTGACCTTGTTCTACCTTGTTTGACCTTGTTTGACCTGTTTGACCTTGATTGACCTTGTTTGACCTTGTTTGACCTTGTTTGACCTTGTTTGACCTTGTTTGACCTTGTTTGACCTTGTTTGACCTTGTTTGACCGTGATTAATCTTAATTGACCGTGATTGATCTTAACTGACCGCGATTGATCTTAATTTACCGTGATTGATCTTGATTAACCGGTTAAATGGAATAGGACTCTTAAGGATCACTTTTATTCTTCTATTTCTTATATCTTCTTCGTTGATTCTTAATCATGAGTTCAACTGAAAAAAAAAACAATATTTTCATTCAAAATTATCAAATATACATACGTTTGTTAATCTATATTCAATCTATATATACTTTAAAATATACTATTATCTTCTTATCATTTTTAGAAATTTACTTACATCAGTTGAACAAATTATATCTTTTTTTATTTTTCCTATACATTTCTTTTAGTCCTAAATTCACATTCATTTTGGATAAACAAATAATCTAATTTAGTAAACCAACTGTTTTTAAAAAATGTTTTACTTCAAATAAACTTAATTAATAAGTGTACACTGTGTACTGTGCATGCACACCTGTAAAACTTTCAAATCTTGCAAACAATAAATAAATCATGAGGAATTAAAATCACAGAAATATTTTAATACAACCTGGATTGACATTACCTAACGTAATTCTACGGGCTTTTGCGGGTTTGGACGAGTCTTGGCTCATGATTGACATTGACTGACCTTAACCACCCAAATTCAGGTGACTGGTAGTCCTGAGAAGCCGCTGTCCGACCTGGGTAAACTGAGTTACCGGAGCTACTGGTCCTGGGTGCTCCTGGAGATACTCAGAGATTTCAGGTTAGATCTGGGTCATTTTTATAAAAAGTTAAATAACTATTATTTTTATTTTCAATTGGTGTAAAACCAACTATTTCTAGTAAGACATTTTGTATCTTGTTTAGGGAAACGTTTTTTATTAAGGATTTATCTAATTATATCTTGTTGAGAGGAACGTTATCTATAAAGGTTTTAGCTAATTGTATCCTGTTGATAGGAACGTTTTTTATAAAGGATTTATCTAATTGTATTTTGTTTAGAGGAATTTTATCTAAAGGATTTATCTAATTTTTTCTTGTTTAGGGGAACGTTATCTATAGAAGGATTTATCTAATTGTATCTTGTTTAGAGGAACGTTATCTATAGAAGGATTTATCTAATTGTATCTTGTTTAGAGGAACGTTATCTATAGAAGGATTTATCTAATTGTATCTTGTTTAGGGGAACGTTATCTATAGAAGAATTTATCTAATTGTATCTTGTTTAGGGGAACGTTATCTGTAGAAGGATTTATCTAATTCTATCTTGTTTATAGGAACGTTATTTAATAAGGTTTTAATTAATTGTATCTTGTTTATTGGAACGTTATCTATAAAGGTTTTATCTAATGGTATCTTGTTTAGGGGAGCGTTATCTATAAAGGATTTAATTAACTGTATCTTGTTTAGGGGAACGTTATCTATAAAGGATTTATCTAATTGTATCTTGTTTATAGGAACGTTATCTATAAAGGTTTTATCTAATTGTATCTTGTTTAGGGGAACGTTATCTATAAAGGTTTTAACTAATTCTATCTTGTTTAGGGGAACGTTATCTATAAAGGTTTTAACTAATTCTATCTTGTTTAGGGGAACGTTTAGTTAAGGATTTATCTAATGGTATCTTGTTTAGGAACGTTATTTAAAAAGGTTTTAATCAATTGTATCTTGTTTATAGGAACGTTATCTATAAAGGATTTATCTAATTGTATCTTGTTTATAGGAACGTTATCTATAAAGGATTTATCTAATTGTATCTTGTTTAGGGGAACGTTATCTATAGAAGGATTTATCTAATTGTATCTTGTTTATAGGAACGTTAACTATAAAGGTTTTAACTAATTCTATCTTGTTTAGGGGAACGTTATCTATAAAGGTTTTAATTAACTGTATCTTGTTTATAGGAACGTTATTTTTAAAGGTTTTGTCTAATTGTATCTTGTTTAGGGGAACGTTATCTATAAAGGATTTATCTAATATGACGAGTATAACACAGAATGATATTATCTCAACGCTTCAATCTTTAAACCTTGTAAAATACTGGAAGGTAAGATCTTGTGCTCATTTTTACCTATAGGAAACCAGGTAATAACTACAAACATAAGAGCGAGCATGAACTCTTTCTCTTCGGCTCACCTCTATTTGCACTGATTAAATCTTATGTATATATTTCAGGTAGGCAGTTTATACAGGACTCAACCGTGAACTGAAAACACAATAAATCAGTCCAGGGTTAATTATATGCATGACAATAATAAAATTTTAGCCTTTAAAATAAAACTTTCTCCAGGTTAACTATTAAAAATCTCAATTAATTATATAGATTTGAACACGTGATTAAATGTAGAAAACTGTGCATGTAGAGTTCCGTGTGATTGATCGATTGTTTGAAGATAATTCCTGGTTGAACACACTGAATAACATCTTGTCGCTGAACACCCTGAACACACATTAGTTTATAAAGATCCTCAGATCTTACAGATCTGTACTTAAGCTTAAAGCACCTTGGTAATGGGGGTACCTTTTCCAAGTAAAAAAGGTTGTGTTAATCTGGATTTGGACATTTCTGTTTAACTTTTTCTTATTGTACACTTTCAATTTTTAGGAAACTATTTAAGTGAACTGTTGAACCTTTCACAGACATATTTGTTCATTTTACGTCAGAAATGGAATGTAAAACGGGAGTTTGACAAAGATGATATAACATAATGTTATTTACTGCTTAATCCGGTTTTTTTTCTCACTTTTTGGAAATTCCTACCTGCTACTTCATCATACAAACTCAATAAAAAGTTAATCTTGAGATTAGCAAAAAGAGTAAATCAAGCGTTGATCTCAATATCAACATTTCTAAAGTTTTCAGCTCCCATTAAGTATTTATCCTCTTTATCAAATCGGGGTTTCTTTAGGGTCAACATGTGATCTGCGTGACCCCTAAGCTGATCGAAGAGCACCTCAAATCTGCCGAGTACAAGAAACCCAGCCTCACCGTTGATATCTCCGCCCTCAAGTGGACACCGCCGAAGAAACCAAACAAAAAACAGAAAAACTTTGTCAGCATTCATTAATATTATATAAATGTACAAACTCGTTATGACATTGTATTAAGAGATGAATTTAAAGATAGTAAATTATGCATTTAATGCTGTGTCTGGATCCGGAAATGAAATAGCCACGTGTTTCAGAAAACAAAATGGCCGCCGGAGAAGATATGCCCACTTTTAAACTGGTTCTGGTTGGAGACGGTGGAACCGGAAAAACTACATTCGTTAAAAGACATTTGACTGGTAAGCAATTTTTTAATTACAATTTGAGTTAGACTTGTCTATTACAAGCTGTAAGACCACAAACCTCTCTTAATTTAATAGTTTCATCTTGATTTGGAAATGGGATTAACTCTGAGATTAATTTTATTTAGATTCCGTATCTTGATCCGCGTAATCCAAGTTTTTAAAAACTTTCTTTTTGATAAAGTTTTGAATGATCTCTTATAATTGGTTAACACAAAAATTTAATGTGTGTTCTTAGAGCTAAGTTTCTCTTTCGAATTTTTATGGATCCGGATCCGTGGATCTGCTTACTTTTGCGGAACTATAAATTTGTGAACGTAATGGACCCGGATTACACATGATGTGTTATTCAGGTGAGTTTGAGAAGAAGTATGTGGCAACTCTTGGAGTAGAGGTTCATCCCCTCGTCTTCCACACCAATAGAGGAGCCATCAGGTACTTATCATTTATCCAGGGAGGGAGGGGGAGGGATTTTCGCTTTACTTTATTTGGAGACTTGTTTTACTTGTAAAACCTCTTTTTTTAGAGCTTAATATTTATGTGTTAAGATTTAATGTCTGGGATACCGCTGGACAAGAGAAGTTTGGAGGGCTCAGGGACGGATACTATATCCAGGTAGGGGTTTAAGGACGAATATTCTATCCAGTATGGGTTCAAGGACAGATATTATATCCAAATAGGGGTTCAAGGACGGATACTAAATCTTGGTTGGGGTTTAAGGACGGATACTACATCAGGAAGGATTTATTGACGGATACTGAATCCAATGTCTAAGAAAGGTTTAAGGGCGGATAATCAAGGTAAGGTTAATGGTCTGATACTAAATAAAGGATGGATACTAAATCCAGAAAGGTTTAAGGTCGGATACTTAATTCCAGGAAAGGACTGATACTAGATGCTTTTGACAACTCCTTTAAACCACACAATGTTTAGGGTCAATGTGCCATCATCATGTTCGATGTAACCTCTCGTGTGACCTACAAGAACGTGCCGAATTGGCACAGGGATCTGGTCAGGGTCTGCGAGAACATACCCATCGTGTTGACCGGGAACAAGGTGGACATCAAGGACAGGAAGGTCAAGGCCAAGAGCATTGTGTTCCACAGAAAGAAGAATCTTCAGTACTATGATATCTCCGCCAAGAGTAACTACAACTTCGAGAAACCCTTCCTCTGGCTAGCCAGGTAGAAAAATCAAGTTCATAGGTGCATGCGCAAGTATTAAACAATTTTTGCCTGTCTGACACGTCTTTCTTTGCCTCATGTTGAATAAATTTGCAAGACATATTTAAAAAATCAAATCGTTTTTTCTTAATTTTTCGTATTTAGGAAACTCATCGGAGACCCAAACCTCGAGTTTGTTGCTACACCTGCTCTACAACCTCCAGAGGTCGTTATGGATCCTCAATGGCAGGCCAAGATTGAACAGGACATCAAGGAGGCTGCTGAGACCGCTCTGCCAGAAGATGACGAGGACCTCTAGATGATGAATGGTGTCCGCTGTTCTCCGGAGAATCCTCAAAATCTGGAAATCTTTTTTGTTCCAAGAAATCCGGGAATCCTTAAGTTCAAGAAATCCCAAATAAATGTTTTTAAGATGTGAAAACCCATCCTGGTCGTAACCGGCGCTTATTTTAATATTTTTGTTCGAACTTATTTTTGAATTAAATATAATAAATGTCAATTTTCAGAAAACAATGAATTTTAAAACATGATGTTGCTGTCACGGCTGAGAGACTAAAATATTTTTTTATGGTTAATTTTCCACTAGTGTCAATCTACTGTGAAATTCTTAAGAATCCGTGTCAAGAAAGTATCGGTCTCCTGAAGAAACAACTTTATCATTCGTTCAGTTATTAAGAATTTGAGTTTCTTGAAAATCGACTAAATTTTCGTAGATTAGGTTAAGGGCAAAACTAGCCACTAAGTTGACCTACATGCTCAAATTCACTTGCACCAGTTGTTAAAGTTTTCTGTGACACATTTATATAGAAAGATACGAGAATTTTTTAAATTTCTAAAAATTTTGCTATTCATGTAGATCTAAATGCTAACGTAAGCAAGGATTCATTTTTCGTCAAAATAAACTTAATTCGGTTTAAAATATCCGTCTTGAGACACAGCTATAAAACGGTGTGAAAATATCCGTCTTGAAACACTTGAGTTCAGGAACACCAAATTTGTAAAAATCGCATGAAAAATTAGCAGCTTGTAAGACAAAAATCGTTATTAAAACGATTGAGGATGCTATATCGTTTGCACTAATGTCCGATTGAACTAACGTACATGTGCACTAAAGCAAGCTGATCAGAAACAGGTATGTATTACGTGTGAACAAAAGTGCTAATGAACACAAATCGAGCTTTACTGTGTTCAATGGACTAATTTGTTGTCTTCCTGCCAAGAATATTTAAAATATTTGTTCAAACGAATAAATTTCTGTAATTAATTAGTGCAACAAAATTTTTTTTTCAAGCGGACCAATTTTTTTTCTTTAAATATTAGTCCAATTGAACATTAGTGCAAAGGAACATTTCCAAAAAAAAATTGTTCAAATGGACTAAATGATTTTTTCTTAAATAATTAAAATTTATGGGCAAAATGGTGAAAATTTAAATTTTAAATTTTATTTTAACATTTTGTGTTTATTTGCACTAAAATATGTTTATTTTTACTAATTAGGGTTTAATGTGCAAAGTGATGAAATTTTAGATTTAAGTTCGATTGAACATTTTTTTGTTCATTTGTTCTAAAATAAGTTCAATTGCACTAAATATAATTTATGGCCAAAATCGTCAAATTAAAAATTTTAGTTCAATTGAACTTTTTTTTGTTTATTTTCACTAAAATATGTTTATTTGTACTATAAATTAAGGTAAATGTGCAAACTGGTGAAGTTTTAGATTTTAGTTTGACAAACATATTTTCGTTCATTTGCACTAAAATATGTTCATTTGTACTAATTAAGGCAAATGTGCAAAATGGTGAAGTTTTAGATTTTAGTTTGATTAAATACTTTTTTGTTTATTTGCACTAAAATATGTTCATTTGAAAAAACTTTGCACACACTTAAGCTTTAGTACAATTGAACATTTTTTGTTCATTCCTACTAAAATATGTTCAATGGAGCTAATTAGTTAAGTTTTAAATTCCGCTAGAATTTAAGAAGATGATTCTCCACGTGCTCAAAAAATCTTCCACGCGGATTTTAGTTTGATTGATCAATTAAGTGTTCATTTGCACTATAGTGCGAATGAACTTTGGTCCAAATAAACGTTAGTACGAATGTACGTTAGTCCGATCAATCGTTAGTGCAAACGATATTTCACTGTCATGAATATGGAAAAGATTAGTTATTAAAAATGTGAAATGTCCTAAAACGTGCAAATGGATTGTTTGAAATCGTTAATGACTGAATGTTGTTTATTAGTTTCATCCTTATTTTTGTTAGCAGACAAACCATTATTCAATTGGTCGACCCCTTAGATGAATTGATAACATGATTATGGACCACAATAAAACGAAGAGGTAAAGCTTAGCTCAAATGTACACAACCGACCTCCCTATTAATTAATTGATAGAGCGGTCGGTTGTATACATCACAATATGTTTACGTATCTAACGCTGTACACTTGTATGTAGAGTGATCGTATTTCTAAGGGGTGGTTTGATGTAGATATTTGAATATAAGTATTGACAATTAGATACATCATCGAATTCTCTTTAAATAAAGAAAGAAAATCTAAAAATTGGTCAATTCCATAAAATACCCCTTAGAAATACGACCACTCGATTTACAAATGTACAGTGTTATTTACGTAAACATATCGTGATGTACACAACCGACCACTCTTTTAATTAATTAATAGGGAGGTCGGTTGTGTACATCTGAGCTAAGCTTTACCTCTTCGTTTTATACCTCTATGATGGACCAGATTCGGATGATATAGATCAGGCTATAGAACATTCACGTTCGGATAGCTTTAATGTGTTGACTTCTAGCAACAGGGTCAAACTGAATCACGCTAATTGTCAAAAAAATTGAAATTATACTGTTTACAGAGACTGCAGACGAAATTTAATTAACCTTAAAGATCTAATGCATTAATGACGACCTGTACATCTATAATAAAACATGATTATTGAACAGGTTTAAAATTTTTAAAATTTGTCGCTATTTAGACTTTTTGAGACCACCGACAGACTTTTCTATCCATTCTACATAAAATTTTATACTTTCATTAAAACTGTTCTTAACCACAAAATTGTTATCTCCTAAAAGTTGAGAGACAAAAGTAATTAATACAACCAAGACAGAAAAATGCTTGTTGACTAAAAATATTTTGATTTTTAGATAATTTAAAAATGTTTGAATAATCTACAGAGACATGAACGCTACCAAGTTCTATGTAGCCGCCTGCAGGCTGGTCATTGAGGCCAATCCTGATAATATTAATAGTTGGCAGGTAGGCTGGGCATTGAGATTAATCCTGATAATATTAATAGTTGGCAGGTAGGCTGGTCATTGAGATTAATCCTGATAATATTAATAGTTGGCAGGTAGGCTGGTCATTGAGATTAATCCTGATAATATTAATAGTTGGCAGGTAGGCTGGTCATTGAGAATACAAATAATATTTCCAGGATATTTACTGAATGTTTCTTGGATATTTACCGAATATTTCTTGTAAATTTACCAAATATTCTAGGATATTTACCAAATATTTCTAGGATATTTACCGAATATTCTAGGATATTTACCGAATATTCTAGGATATTTACCAAATATTCTAGGATATTTACCAAATATTCTAGGATATTTACCAAATATTCTAGGATATTTACCGAATATTCTAGGATATTTACCGAATATTCTAGGATATTTACCAATTATTCTAGGATATTTACCAAATATTCCAGGATATTTACCAAATATTTCTAGGATATTTACCGAATATTTCAAGAATATTTACCAAATATTTCTAGGATATTTACCAAATATTTCTAGGATATTTACCAAATATTTCTAGGATATTTTCCGAATAATTCTAGAATATTTACCAAATATTTCTAGGATATTAACCGAACATTTTAGGATATTTACCGAATATTTCTTTGATATTCACCTACTATTTCTAGGATATATACCGAATACTACCGATGCTACGGAACTCCATGTCCTGCACTGTATGTGAACATCTACTAACTGAACCATACACTCCTGAGGTGACTTTAAAAAAATATTTAAGAATTTTATCGATAGGATATACATTGTTAAACTAACTGTACAGGGTATTGGATCAATAAAAGGATATACATTGTTAAACTAACTGTACAGGATATTGGATCAATAAAAGGATATACATTGTTAAACTAACTGTACAGGATATTGGATCAATAAAAGGATATACATTGTTAAACTAACTGTACAAGGTGTTGGATCAATAAAAATACCTTTAATTGGGAAGTTCATTAAAAACCGAAAATTGTTAAGAAATAAAATCTTTTTTTTAAACGTTATGCTTTACATAACGTTTTTAGCAAAATGTTGCAGAAAATGGATTCTATAAATTTTCATATTTTTTAGGAGAGTTCGTGCCAGCATCATGTGTGTAAAGGGTGCAGGGGTGGGGTTAAAGTACTCCGCCCCTCCTGCAGTTGGTGCAAGGAATTAAATTTATTTATCATTAATTTATTATCCATAAAACCTTTTTTCCGAAAACTGCTAAAATGTAATCGCTCTGATGGATTCTTTATAGCTTCTATATTTATTATTTGAATTTTCATATGTTCTAACTTTTCCTTTAAATGCATTAAGGGATGTATATTTTCCTAAGAAATCTTTCCCTCTCCCTGTTTTTAAATAATTTTTTCTACCCAGGAGTTAGGTATGTTTTTCCTGTATTGGGGAAGATATATAATTTTTAGGGGGGAAAAATATACGAGTTTTAAAGGGAAATTAAAATTATAAGTATGAGAAGGGGTAAAAAAACGTGCTTTTTATGTCCAGATCTTTAAAATTAATACCCCCCCTCCCCTGAGCTGAAAACTTTAGAATGGTGGATATCGAGATTAATGCTTGATCTTCTCTTTTTCTTAATATGAAGACTAACCTAATCTTGTACTTGTATCCTGAAAAGTGATAAAAGATCGACCAATCAGAGTCGCGTATAAGAAGCCAATAATTTGAAATATTGCGCGCCATTTAAGATCAACATACAGAAACAGGAGGGACTCCCGGTTTGTGATTTTTCTCTACTATGAAAGAGTGGTTTAAGAAGAAATCAAAAGTGTGCCCATTGGATGCTTAGATTAAGTAATTGGGATTAAGGATATCTCTTTCTAAAGTTTTCAGCTCAGGATACAATTATTAATGATTATTATCACTTACTGTAAATCAAGGATGAATAAATTGGTTTAAGGATTACTCTCTGTATACGGAGAATGTTCAGCTTCGTCTTCTAATCCAGAGTTATCGGAAACTCTGCTCCCTGATTAAAGTCACCAAGCTCTACGAGAACTTTCAGGAGAACACAGACACTGGCCCCGGGATGCTCGAGATTATCAGGTTCGTCATTTTACCAAGGTCAACACTTTTTTATTCGTCATCCCGTCCGATAGATAAAATTAATCCTTTAAAATATGTGGATATTGAAACAAAAACGCAAAGATACAATTTTAGTCCGTTAAATCTGTAATAAATTTAAATAAATAGACTTTGAGAACTTTCTTGAAATTGCGATTGAGTTAAAGGACTGTAAGCTTAATTTCAGGAAAGATCGAAATTCTCTATTCACGTCGGTACCCTTAAAAGCTTTGTCTGATCAACCATGAATTAGATATTAATGTTTTCATTTGCGGGTTCTTGCTAAGATGAACCAACAGAGAAACTCACATATTGCATGTCAGAAAAACGACTGAATCTTCCACATTTTTGATCAGATTAAGGTTTCAAGGGTACCGTTGTAAATCAGGCAGTGGCATCTTTGCATTGAGGATCACTTTAAACTACGCGTTCTCACATAGACAAATTTATGTTACAGAGAAAGTGAGATGAAGAACAGGGTTGGGTTTAGTGGATCAGGGTTCTCCAGGCAACCTTCTCAACAGGTCAAACAAGAGGTTTACTCCGAGGAAGAGGAAATCCATCAATCAAACCGTGAACAGGATCAAACACGTCTTTCTTCCGATATATCGAGCTTAGATCATAACCGCCTCAATCCTAAACCATTCTCCGAGCACATTCTGACTCCGGAGCACTCAACCCTGTCCCCGGAGCAAACTGAACCTTGTGATAATATTAGAACCTCTCCCACCAAGTCAAATCTAAGTCTGGATGAATCCACGGGTCGGACGGATGGAAAAGGGATGGAATATACAACCGTGAAACTAAATCCCATGGTAAAACTTGAACTTAACTATGATTTGGAGCTTCACAGTTCGACTCATCAGAGGGAAGGAAAAGAAGATATTTTAAATGATCAGGTTTGTGCGAATTTTTCCGGAGATTTATGTTTTCAGGGAATTTTTTAATATCATTTTTTAATCATTTTGTTGGATTCCCATTTATTAAAACAATATATATACCCTGTACTTCGATTTAGAGATAAATTAACTTTTAAATTTTACAAATATCATTTTTGTTTCCATGGGGTTTCTATGCTCAACAATTGCTGTGGAGAATGGAAATATTATTAAAAATATGAAAATGGATTGTATTGTACCTCCATTTATAACACGTCAGAGTTTCATCGGTACCCTTAAAAGAGTCTGATCATGAATGCATGAGAAATCCAGCATTTTCTCTTCTAAAATTTATTTAAAAACTTTCAAGACTATATTTCAGGGTGAAAATATGGATACGGATGAATCCAGATTATCCAGGGATGAATCCAGATTATCCAGGGATGAATCCAGAGTATTCAGGGATGAATCCAGAATATCCAGGGATGAATCCAGGTTATCCAGGGATGAATACTCTCTTGAGAATACTCCTTTTATCCAAGTGGATTCCATGAAGATGGAATCCATAGAATCCATAAAACATGAATACTATCCGACTCCTTCTCATACACCTCGACGCTCAGCATCTAGGTTAGTGTACTGTTAAACCATTGTTTACATTCCCCCCATACACCTCGACGCTCAGCATCTAGGTTAGTGGACTGTTAAGCCATTGTTTACATTCCCCCCATACACCTCGACGCTCTGCATCTAGGTTAGTGTACTGTTAAACCATTGTTTACGTTCTCCCCATACACCTCGACGCTCACCATCTAGGTTAGTGTACTGTTAAGCCATTGTTTACATTCCTCCAATACACCTGGACGCTCTGCGTTTAGGTTGGTGTATTGTCAAACCATTGTTCACATTCCCCCCATAAACCTCGACGCTCTGCGTCTAGGCTAGTGTACTGTCAAACCATTGTCTACATTCTCCCCATACACCTCGACGCTCAGCATCTAGGTTAGTGAATTGTCAAACCATTGTTTACATTCCCCCCCATACACCTCGACGCTCAGCATCTAGGTTAGTGAACTGTCAAACCATTGTTTACATTCCCCCCATACACCTCGACGCTCTGCGTGTAGGTTAGTGTACTGTCAAACCATTGTTTACATTCCCCCCCATACACCTCGACGCTCAGCATCTAGGTTAGTGTACTGTTAAGCCATTGCTTACATTCCCCCCCATACATCTGGAAGCTCTGCGTCTAGGCTAGTGTACTGTCAAACCATTGTTTACATTCCCCCCATACATGGTATTCTATCGAATTTATACTAGGTGGGAACAGATTTGCGTAAATTTAAAGATTTTATATAAATCGCCCTCATTTCTTAAGTATTTAGTAATCAAGAGGAAACACAACATTTTCGAATGTCTTTAATTTGAAATGAGAATGATTAAGCGTTTAAGAAGCTTTCGTACAAGGGGGGCCTTCGATCTGGTCTTCTTGCCCCATGTTTTACAATCGCCCATATTGTCTTTCTTAAGACTTAAACCTGAAAATTGATTTTCGTCATTTAGATTTCAAGGTTTTGACACATTTTATATTTTAGTAATTTTTAAGAATTATTTTAAAGATCTGAGACTCCCTCCCCGCCGAACTCCAGACGATATTCTACTTCCATTCCTTGCACAGAATCGGTTCTCTCCTCAGCCCAGCTATACCTGAATACAAGCTCAGGATCCAACCCGGAGTCGAACCCGAACTTACTCCGGGGATTCATCAAGTCTAGGACGCATCCCAAAATCCGGGAAACATTTATTCTACAACCCAGAGCTAATCCTCAGGTAATGAAAAGGACAACAACAAGTTTTTTTATATTGCATCATTTTTTCTGTTGCTTTTTAATTTTGGTATTTAGTTTTCATCAAAGACTTTGCTAATTAAAGATAGCGCATCAGAAAATCTACGCAAATTTGACGCATTTTCTGGGGTACCGAAAGAGAGTCACAAATGTCGTCTTCTCCAGAAATCCTGAGTATATTTACCCTGCTGATGTTTCATAATGTCGTCTTTTGTAATTGTAATGAATTAAATAGTTATTTAAAAACAAAACAAGGAAAAAACTTTAGTGTTTCTATCTTGAAATATTTAATTTGTCCATAGTCCATAAAAGTGGAAAGACCAACATTATTTACAGAATTCATCACTTTTTCAGATGAAATAACGACGATATCTTCCTCATCGTTACCCAGACAATTGTTTTAATGGTTCCGTTGTCGATAGGACCTTTAATGGGTTGGTAACTTGAAATTACATCTAACAGCTCCCTTGGAACATTTACTTTTGGTTTGAAGTATATGAAGTGTTTATAAGAAGAAAATTAAAGTCTCGTATCTTTTATGCAAGTAACCTTACACTTTTTAACAGTGATCAATTATCTCATTACTTTTTCATTCAAGATTGAATTCTCTCTCTACCTGATTTAAATGAATTATTGAAAAATATAACGTCATAATATTTATTTAACAATTTAATAATAGTTTTTACAAAATCGGGATCTTCAGCGTGAGGAATTCATGTGATCCAATTAAAGAGCCTTCGTATTGTAAACGCAGACTCTCCTATTCTTGGTTGGCGTGGCAGTTGAGTATCATACATGTTACTTTGCTTTGCAGTTGCACCGACGAACCTGAATTTATCAGAATTGTTCATTGAATTTGAATACATAAAACTCCGGAATTTGAAGACAAAATTTAGACAATCTGCATGTTCACTGCTCAATTGCGGTATTTTATGTTCATTGAACTATTTAATCAAAAATTGATTTCAAAAGTCGTCTTTATATTCCCCAGTTTTATTTTCACCAATGTATTTCTTTAATCCACCTTTTTAAAACCCTCCAATAAGTCATGCCTCAAACCTTTTGTAATCAACTTTAAAAGACTTCTAAGTAAAAAGTCGTCCATTAATTCGCATTTTTAACGAAACTTTCTGTGATATTTTTTTCTTTAATGGTGGATATTTTGAAACAAAATCCCCATAAATCAATTGAAGAGTAAGTTTAATACATTAAGTTATGCGATATTATTTCTTTGACTAAGATTAAACAGAAGACGACATTTACAAAAAAAAATATTTACCTTTTATAATATTGGAAATTTCTGGTCCCCTCCCTTCTTCATCGCCTAGAATTCCAACCCATAGTATCCCAGGAAAAATATTTGACGATATCTGAAAATTTTCACTAACAATTATCGGCTATTTTTGATACAAAAGAGATGCGTAACTTTATCAAAAATTCAGCTATAATTCACCAGACGACTCTCATATCCAACAAATGATTAAATAAATTTTAAAATACAAATTAATATAATTAATTTTAGTTAATTTTTAGCACAAAACATTCACAATTATGTTAAATAACTAAGGTTTTAGTGTCGATCGTTAGACTCTCAAACAACCAAAATAACCAATGACGTCAAAATACAGCTGTACTGGCGTACACAATAGTCGGATAAATTTCCAACGCCTCGTCTTTATAATTAGCAAAGTCTTTGAGTTTTCATGAAACCTGCTCATTTAATTGTATAGTAAACACTGTACAGTGTACATACTAATGTTCAGGGGGAAACCAAGGTTGTACAAGGGAACTCCTATTTAATTGTATAGTAAACACTGTACAGTGTACATACTAATGTTCAGGGGGAAACCAAGGTTGTACAAGGGAACTCTGGATGGGAATCTAATGTTAATCGGTAAGTCTAACTACAAATAAACTGGGAACAAAATCGAATATAATAAGATTAAATTAAATCCATAAGATTAATTCATTAAGCATTGGTTAACAATGTAAGATTTGTGGATCTTTATAAACTATTATGTGTTCAGTGTCCGAATTTAATGAATTTGAGCCGCCGCCTAAATCTGCCATAAACCGGTGCCGGCTTAATTCTTGAAAAATTGAATACAATTTTAAATGGAACCAACCATATTTAAGCCGCGGCTCAAATTCTTTAAATTCGGCCTCTGGGTGATCAAAGTCTAGAAAATTGAGCACAGACAATACGAAATGATTGTTCTGGTTCAATTGGACTGAGATTATTATTTACAAATGAATTAAGATCTTAGACGAAGAAACCGTGAAATCGTAGAACTTAACTTCATCATATCTAAAATTTATCATCCTAGAGAGGCGATCAACTCTTCAAAACTTATTTTGTATATAAATATAAATAAAACGATATTTTTTCAGGTTGGAAAGTATGAATGTGATGAGTACAACACCAATGATTTTGCCAAGGAATTCTCCGCACTCTGGAGGCCGGAGTTTGTTAAAGCCTCCGGAAAAGCCTCCGTTAGGAAAAGGAAAGGAAAGGAAGGCGGGAGGATGTAGATGCGGAAATGCTACTGCATGTCCGGGTATGCCTTTTAAGACGATAAACTTAAAAAAAATTTGCCATGGATTCGGCAGTGGCCAATCTGTGTTAATCGCGAATGCAATGTTTTTAAGACAGAGAGAGGGCCAATTCTAGCCGCGGCGATCGGCCCCCTAGCCTGTCCTAGCCGCAGCGCGGGGGCCAGAAAGTGTCTAAATCTAACCTAACTCTAAAATAAATACTAATCTCTCTCTTCGCGAGTAACCCACGGTTTTCAGTATTTTCAAGTACTCCTTCTAGATAAATTTCGAAGATATGAGGTATGAGGTAAATGAAATTGGACAATAAATTCCCCCCCCCCTTATACTTTCAGAAAAGGAATTGTCCTCTTTGCATAAAGGGGTCTTATAACCCCGCGTACAGTTCCTTTAAATTACTAAAAAAAATCGGATAAGAAAAATTTAATGAATATGGTATTGTTTAAGATGGGTCAAAGTATAACTTCACTAATAGCGGGGATAGGATGGTTTTTGATAAATAGGTAATTAATGACAATATTATAATCCCGCTTCACGCTGTATTTATTGATTTTAATCTGGATTTAAGGAAAACTAACATGTTGTGGACAGAGATGTCCTTGCTACGTCAGCAGATTGGCATGCGTCGACTGTAAATGCAAGGGTAAGGATTTTTTCAATATTGACTGATTTGTCGGTCGATTGATGGCTGAAGGCAAAGTTAAAAATGAACAACAGTTTTTGGTAAAGATCGAGCTGAAAACCTGGAGTTGGTGAGATTTTCAACTCTAACCTTTACAAAAGACGCCTTAATCAATCTTGTAAAATTTGATTGATTGATTTGTTGATTATCTGATTATTTGATAGATTGATTGATTGGTAAATTATTTTATTGTTTGCTCGATTGATTGACAAATAAATTAGAGATTTCTGATGTGTCCAGTCTCGCACTGTATTAATTTAATTAAATAATTGATCTATTTATTTATTTAAACTTGATTAATCGGATTTTAGGTTTGATTAAAGAGTCAATTGATTAATTGATTAAAGTATTGATTGATTGATAAGATGATAAATTAAGAATTGATTTGCCTATTTTCCCTAGTAATTAATCTTTTTGGTTGATTTAGGTTGTAACAATCCCAACCTACCGGGGGGAGGGAAGGTTCTACCATACATCAATGCAGCTCTCAACCTTGACGGAACTAATGCAATCAAATTTATGACAACCATTAATAAACCAAGTCAGCCGGGCAGTAATCCTGGGTTGACCCGGAAGCTAGGTTCTAGTCTACTTAGCTCCGGGGTTAGATTGAGTACAGGAGGAGGACGGAGTGTGGTGAGAGTACCCTCATCAATATCAGATAGTATAGACAGGTGAAACTCGAGTAATTACAGAGGAAGTAGATAGTCGAAGCAAGATGAATAATAATTTTTAAATTAAAACATTGTTCACTCTAAAAACCTGTGTTTAATTTTCTTTACCCTTTACACACAATCAAAATTTGCCATTTGACGTCCAAAATTTGGTTGGAGTGCCCCTTTTTTATTTTGGGATTTCAGCCTAGATCGAAATTTTTCATGGTTTAATTTTCTAATTAATTAAATATCGTGTGTTTAGTATGAGTTTAATAATGAAATGTTGTGATTGTTTAGCATGACTGATGTTGATATTAATACAATCCCTGTTGTAAACTTGTCTTCTCCCTCCGCCTACACAACCCTTGTAGGATCCTCTCCTCTAGCAGACAGGTATTAATTTAAACAGATTTAATCTTCCCCCTTTTACCCTTACTTTTCTTTCTTTAAAAGTTGTTACAGTGATAGAGATCAAACGCTGTAGATAAGCGCTATTCTACACTTATCTTCTAAGAAAATTTTTATTTCAGATTGGTTTCCAGATCATCTCCAGGTTCCTCCTTCTCCCCCCCTTCCTCGTTATCTTCCTTCTCCGTTCTTCCCTCTTCATCCTTTACACAATCATCTATGTCAACTGTTCGTGTTGTTCCCGCATCTTCTTTATCTGCAGTTTCTATTCCTCTCTCCTCCCTCACCACCTCCTCCCTCTCCACCTCTTCCTTCTCCTCCTCTGGTCTCAAGCTCCGACCTGTAGATCAACTTCAACCTAGAGAAATCAAAGCCAGGGTTATTCCAACCTCGTTTCGTCTCAAACCTGCTCCGTACACAAGGTAAACCAATCAATCAATCAATGAAATAGATGCTCAATCATTTATATGTTCAAGAGTGTCAGAGATAGAAGCATTCATTAAGTGACAAACCTTGATAAAAAATCCAAACTTTTAAGATTGTACAATGTACATGGTTCAAAAGAAAGGAAAACGCGCAATAAAATGTAATTGCCGGAACGAAAAAAATTAATTTCTTTTCTTTCTAATCTGAGATACATCTCTGAGCCCGCGATTTAAAAAACTCGGGAAAATACGGCTCGGGACTAAGCTGTTGTTGGGCCTTATTTACGGCTTGAGCTTTCGGATTCAAGCTGCATCTTATTTTCCACAGAGTTGAGTCCAAAAAACGGTTTAATATTCTTTTGGTGGATTTTCATGGAAGGAATTGGCGCATTCCGGGTTTTTTATGAGAAAAAGATTCAACATTGATCTCCACTAAACCATCCAAGGTCGGTTTTATTTTTAATAGGCCTAACTCCTTAAGTCGAGCCGAAAATCTTGCAGCTGTCAATCACGTGACAAGCTGTTGTCAGAGTTGGATCGAAGATTGGATCTTAAAGTCGGGTTTAAAGAATTACGGCTCGAGCCAGAATTTTTAAATCGCGGCCCCCGGCCCCCCCCCCCCCCCCCCTCCATATCTTTGTTTAAATGAAAGTATTATGCAACTTATTTGGAGGAACACAAACAAACTTAGACCGAGTTTTGTTTACATTCCCACCAGAAACTGCAGTACACTAAATTTGTAAACAAGGATTAATCGGATTGTACCGTGATCTGAGTTATTTTTGTCAAGGCTTGGGTTAAATAATGGAGGAAACCTGAACGGAGCAAACTCTATCCGGCTTCAAACTAAGAACGGATCTATCCGGGTTCAGACCAAAGACCCATCCGGAGCAATCCGGTTTCAGACTGTCAACCTCATGTCTCTTCTCAAGGGGCAACATAACCAACAAATCTCGACCCAGGTCAGAGAAATGTACAAGTTGTGTTTTGCCTCTAAAGGAACTGGCCACTTGCCGCAAACTCTAATTTTCCAATCCTTCTATTTTTTTCAACCAGATGGCGTAGACCTTGGATATTTCTTAATATGAGTTTTTACACAAAAGTTTAAAAAACACAAACAAATAAACTTAATATTCTCTCTAGTATACATCAAAAACCATAATATCCCACTACCAAAACAATGTCAAAAACACGTTGTTTTTTGTATTTAAAAATATCCAGAAATTGAATTTTTGCCTCTAAAAATAAATTAAAATTTTGTATCTTGTTTCTGTAAATTATCAACTAATTTTGTTTAAGGTCTTGAAGGAGGGGGTCAAAAAGGAGGTTGTTCCCATGGAGGCTGTTAAAATAGAGGCTGTTGAAACGGAAGCTGCAGAAGAGGCTGATATTTCGGTGGATTAAAACAAAGAGAAAAGTCTAAAACCTGTCAATACTTTTAAAGCATAAAAAACCAAAAATTGCCAAATTATATTTCATAATTCGTGAAATTCTGAAAAAATGAGGGTTGGAAGGGTAGGGGTGAGGGGGGGGGGGGAGAAGGTATATTTATGAAAGAGTGGATTGGCAGTAAGGGTAACGGTAGAAGGTATATTGTATTATGAAAGAGTTATGTATTTGACGATACGATTGTTTCATTAGAATAAAATTTGCAATTAATCAATTAAAAGAAAAATTATTAAATATCCTTGATATAATTTTCGATTAAAAATTAGTTAGAACCATATTTATTTTGATTGTTTACCCTTTTTAAAAGGAAGAAAAGTGTCATTAAATATCGTAATAATAAAGAAGTAAAGCCAATTATATTCATAAAGGCAAAAAATGTGGAAACTGTTGTAAATTTTTACCATGAATTAAAAAAAACGAAACTAATTTGATATTTGCTCTGTTGTAGACTCTAATATTGTTTTGAATGTAAAATTGTAAAAGTACATTCTGTTTCGCAAACCCTTGTAATACAAACTGCTTAATGTTCCTCGTTAATTAATGTAATCGTTTCAGAGAAAATGCGCCAGCTATGAGGAATTAAAATCCGCCAAAAATTACTTTTTAATGGATTTTAACGAAGGTAGGTACTACTAGGTCTTATGAACAGTGAACTGAAGATATTCTAAACTGAAATATTATTTGTATGTTTTAAGATGCATGATAAAAATGAGAAACCCACTAAACCTAAATTTTGTACATTTTAATACTAACTTGACAAATCGGCCACGAAAATGTTTGGCAAGCTCCTGATTTTTATGAAAAATTATGTTTTTAACGCGTGTCTAAAATTGTTAAAATGATATTTTTTATGTCAGAGGTAATTCATAAGGTTTCCAAGAATTATATTTTTTTTATTAGGAAAAAACAGTTATTCATTACCTTAAAGTTTTCTAAAACTATCCGAAAGAAACTTTAAATGTCGACTTTTTCTATTTTAAATGGCTTTATCAAAGTTGAAAAAAAATTATTTATGTTTTTAGTTCCTGACTTTGACCCTATAGAAGCTTACTCTATGTCTATAGATGAATCTACTTCGCGTTCACTTAACCTAACTCCTACCAACTTACAGGAATCATTCTATACAAAACACTTAAAATATTCATTAAAGAGACTGTAAGCGTAACTTCAAGTGACTCTCCATGCGAAATTGACAATTCCCGTATTACAACGATCTGATTAAGCATAAATGTGATATCCATGTTTTTGTTTATTAAATTTTTTTATTTTCATTAGTGGTTTCGCAATCTTAAATTTCAAGGATACCGTTGTATAACGGGCATTGCTCTCTTTGCATGTAGGTTCACTTAAAAATAAGGTAACAGTCTCTTTAAGTTTCTTTTTCAATATTTTGTTTTTTAAATATTAGAACGAAAAATTGGTTAAGATTGCCCAGTTTGAAGTCCCTAATAATAAAATGCAAAAAAGACCCGGTTCATATCCTAAAATTTCTTTTTCTGAATCTTCAAGGGGAAGGTTTGGCGCCCCCCCCCCCTCATAGAGGAGTTTTGGATGGGGCGTTAGTTGCAATTACTGGTTAATTGAAAATGAGTGTAATATTATTTAATTTAGTTTTAATGATAAAGTTAAAATATTATGAATTCAAAGGAAGGAGCATATAATGAGTCTACAAACCCAACCGGAGTAATTGATCTCGGTTCTATAAAGGAACTAGTCATAATTTTTAAAAATCGGTTTCCATTTTTTTTTAAATCAATCCCTTCTCATCAAAAATCATTTTTTCCCCTCTCAATTATTTTAATTAAAAGTGTCTAGGTTTTTAATACCTAAATACAGCTTTTGGAGTAAATTATGTTATTTTTTGTGGTAACCCTTAGATAAGATTTTAAGTTTTGTTCCCGTTATTATTTTTCTCTCAAAAGCTTAGAAAGTAACCCCCCGCCCCCCCCCCCCCCCGGAAAGGGTTATTTTTTATATGAAATACCTATGGGAAAGAATGTTTTTTTTTTGGGGGGGGGTAGGGGATGAAATTTTGGAAGCTTTAGATATTAGGAAGGATAATGATTTCCTTAGATTATTATCCTATACATGTTAAGACTTATATGACAAGTAGACGGCTGGATTGAGCTTAACTCCGGTATGTCCTCCGACCAACCTTTACATCACGGAGCCGAACTTGTCCGAGTACTTCTCAACCCATCCTCAGCAGTACGATCAAACGCAGTATTTAAACCTACCAGAGGAGAGGGTTCGAAGCTCTGTGCTCAGTCCTAATTCCTCTCCTTCCATTAGTCCTCAGAAATCCCCAAACCCGTCCTACTCCAGGATGCAATATCCACCGGAGTATCAATACTACCCGGAGTCAGGACGCGTCCCAGCTCTGCCTCCGACCTACCAGGAGTACCTACATGAGAAGCAGGTTGGGCAATCGCATTTTCTTAGACAGGATCCGTCCCAAGGATTTCTCCATCCAGGTCAGGTTCAGGCTCCTCTTCAGAATATGCTCCTGGTGCCTGGTTCCACTCAGAGTTCGGCTCCAAAATTTAGTAAGGTATGTACCTTCATTTTATCTCTCCTTGATATTTTGCTTTTAGAAACAAATGTGGAATGTAAGCACCCTCATCAAAATTTTCTTATACGCTGGAAAGATTTTTTTATTTATTAATTACTAAATTAAATCATTTTTGAAATATTAATTTTGTTAATTTTTACTTTTTGGAAATTTACGGTTTTTGAGAAAAATATTAAAAAGATGTCATAAAACCTTGCAATTTTAACCAATTAGGACCCTTTTAGGTTGTATCCGGGGATAAAACTATTGTTTACTCCCAGTCGTTACCCCCACCTGGATATCCTCCCCCGAATTCTCCCCCTGGACCCTCCTCCTCCTACATATCTGTATCTCCGGGTTCAACTCCAAATATTTCTCCGAACTCTAGTTTCTCCTTATCTCCGTCTCCGAGTAAGAAAACTGGCGGAACCTCCCCTAAACCCTCTCCGAAAAAGGCAAGGGGCAGATGTTAATTATTTTAAATTTTCTGAAACTTGTAAATTTCAATTTTCATTTCAGTTTTCATTGCTTAAATAATGATTTTCTTGACAGTCACGTAAATTTCACAAAAAGGGAATCATTCATTCAGCGCACTGTCCCGGTTTGCTCTAATTTAGTCTGTAATTGTACTGTACAGCTTGTTCTAGTTTGTTAAAAGTTGGCCCGGTACTTGAGACAAACCGAGTTTACAGTGCAGTGTACACTGTACAGGGATTTCCATTCTCAATTTCGTTGGGAAATAAATAAAGAAAGAGTGGAGGGGTTGTTTGACTTTTTCTCTATTACTAAACCTAATTTAATCAAGTTTTTGATTGAAAAACATTTAAACAACCTTAGATTTGACCTTTATCAATTACTGCAGTTTGAATATTACTCGATGGCGAACTGTTTGAAATTAACATAAAATCTGTGAGAAGGGTCAGCATGAGGTTCTGATTAATCAAGAGTTTGCGGATATTCCTGGAGTAAACCTGAGAAAAGGAAACGTAGAAATCAACATTTACGTCGCTAGTCTAGGCAAGCCAGCAATTTCTAATTAAAAAAAATTCACATTGTTATATATAAGTTCAGTTATTAATTTTGAAAAAAAATAATTTGTTTGATTAGATAATGTCCTTCTCTTGTAACTGATGTTTTTTACACTTAAAATGCTTTTCCGAACATTTTCATAAATATATCAAACATTGTCGTTAAAAATTACCAAATCTTAATTTTCATATCTAACTAAAAGACTTTCACTTTTCTACATTATGGTTGTTGGTCAATAAAAAATTGCTGGGTTTGTAGTACCCTACGCTCATCCTGGATTCCAGAATATTGATATGTACGCAGAACGTTGCTTAGCCTGCGTAGTGCGTAAACTTAAAAACAATCTTCGTGGCTTGCAAGTTCTGTACAGGTATCGAGTTGTAAAAAGGGACTGTAGACATAATTTCATTTGACAGTAGACCAAAGAAGTTACGTGCACTTGCCGCTTTGAATCACAAAAAATGTGAGATTAGTTTATATTTTAGTGTTAGGTTAGGTTAAGACACTTTCTGGACCGAGCGCTGCGGCTAGGACAGGCTATGGGACCGAGCACCGTTGCTCTCTCTGCAATTGAACGCAGCATGCGCACGTAACTTCCTTGTGCGTCTGCTAATTTCATATGACTCTTGACTTTAAGCGGGCCATGTCCGATTCACAACGGTATGCTGGTATGGTGAAAAACTGTGTCTGATCAAGAAGTAATGGGATAACAATCATCTTTTTAAAAAAGTTGATCATTTTCAATTGAGCTCTTTTGTTATGTGACATGCATATATCTGCTTCAGAAACATTGAAGAAAATGTTAAAAATTCAATCTTTCTAGCTAGAAAAACAACAATATTTTCGTTATTTATCAGTAAAAGGTTATGCTGAAAATCGGGCATGCCCCCTTTTTAAAATATAATTAAAAAAGGTTGAAAAATCTCCTTTGTTTCCACTCTAAAAAGTTGTAAAGGAACTTTTCATACTTTCACTTTCTAATCCTTACACCTTTGCAACCGGTTATCTTATATATTTTAAACTTAGAATTCGTTTCTTTCAAAACACTTTATTTGTCAAATAAATACGAAATTCAAACACATTATTTACATTACTGATTTCAAACCACATAATTTTATGCAATATTTTTATATACCACAGCATTGTGGAAATCTTTTCGCTGAATCCTGCTAGATCAATCAGTCAAAGGTTTACATCATGAGCTTCAAGAGATATAGGGATTAGAGAATCATATATCGAGATTAGAGAATTATATATCGAGATTAGAGAATTATATTTATCGAGATTAGAGAATTACATATCGAGATTAGAGGATTATATATATCGAGATTAGAGAATTATATATCGAGATTAGAGAATTATATATCGTGATTAGAGAATTATATATCGAGATTAGAGAATTATATATATCGAGATTAGAGAATTATATATCGAGATTAGAGAATTATATATATCGAGATTAGAGAATTATATATATCGAGATTAGAGAATTATATATATCGAGATTAGAGAATTATATATATCGAGATTAGAGAATTATATATATCGAGATTAGAGAATTATATATATCGAGATTAGAGAATTATATACATCGAGATTAGAGAATTATATATCAAGATAAGAGAATTATATATCGAGATTAGAGAATTATATATCGAGATTAATATGGAATTAAGGAAAACTAAAAGTAAAGTGAATGACCCGGCCAGGAGTCGGAGGAAAATAAGGAAAAACCTAACATATTCTCTTACTAATTAAGGCTGTAGATACAAGCCACGGTAGTTGGGGTTTCACGGCCTCAGCTACTGCCACTCGGGCATAACAGTATAATTGCACATGTCATGCTAACTCTGTGACCCACGTACTCCTTAGGGAGGCAGAGGGTTTCAAGGAGGGGTGGTTTCCTGGTAACATTCGTGTTATTGGGTTGTCATAATAGATAGATAGATTGATTAGTTTCTTTGCTAATCAAGAGGCCGAATTTAAAGAATTGGTTGGTTCCACTTAAAATCATATTCATCATTTCAAAATCTAAGCCGGCGCTCAATTGAAACCGGTTTTTGGCGGATTTTACACGCGGCTTAAATTCATTAAATTCGAACACCGTTCTAATTTAACATCTTTTGCAATCGCAAAAGTGCTTGGAAACTTTTTTTTGCTTATTTTAACCAACCCAGGGGGTAAATGAACAAGTAGTAGAACAATTAGTAAATCAACTTGGTATTATCTTTATTTCGTTTTCTAGGTCCGTGAAAGGTGATGAAGGAGATCAAGGTTGTGTAATCATTCCTAGAAGTAAAGACTCCAGGTACTAGAATACGACTGTGTTTTTACTCCAGGTACTAGAATAAGCTTGTGTTTTTACTCCAGGTATTAAAATAGGCTTGTGTTTTTACTCCAGATACTAGCATAAGACTGTGTTTTTACTCCTGGTACTAGAATAGGCTTCTGTTTTTACTCCAGGTACTAGAATAAGAGACTGTGTTTTTACTCCAGGTGCTAGAATATGCTTGTGTTTTTACTCCAGGTACTAGAATAAGAGACTGTGTTTTTACTCCAGGTGCTAGAATATGCTTGTGTTTTTACTCCAGGTACTAGAATAAGAGACTGTGTTTTTACTCCAGGTACTAAAATAAGACTGTTTTTTTACTCCAGGTACTAGAATAAGACTGTGTTTTTACTCCAGGTACTAGAATAAGACTGTGTTTTTACTCCAGGTACTAAAATAGGCTTGTGTTTTTACTCCAGGTACTAGAATAAGACTGTGTTTTTACTCCAGGTACTAGAATAGGCTTGTGTTTTTACTCCAGGTACTAAAATAGGCTTGTGTTTTTACTCCAGGTACTAGAATAAGACTGTGTTTTTACTCCAGGTACTAAAATAGGCTTGTGTTTTTACTCCAGGTACTAGAATAAGACTGTGTTTTTACTCCAGTTACTAGAATAAGACTGTGTTTTTACTCCAGGTACTAGAATAAGACTGTGTTTACTCCAGATACTAGAATAAGACTGTTTTTACTCCAGGTACTAGAATAGGCTTGTGTATAGTATACCTTGTTGGCATGATCTGTTGCCCCCCCCCCCTTCCTAGAGTTCTTTGGAACTTGTGTTTTTAGATCTAGCTATAGTTGTAATATTACTGTAGCTGTTATATGTTCAGGATCACAATAACTAGACAGGGTGGAGTAGGAGCAGCATCGAAACGTATTCATCCTCATCTTGCCCTGGTTCAGATATTTTATAATCCACAGGTAATTTCCCGCTCAGCCATTAGTCGGGACAATACACAAATAGAGATCAGAACTTATGTATGGTTATTGATTATCTTGAATGCTTGATCTCGATATCTAATGTGGGCACTTTTTAAATTTGAGGTTGAATGCTTAATCCCTCGATTAAAGTTATCCCTCAAGGTTATAACAGGGATTAAATTAATCCGTAGATCTGCATAAGATGGAGATCAATGCTTGATCTTGATATCCACAATACGAGAGTATCAACCTCAGCTGAAAGAAATCTATAAATATAAAAAACAGTTATCAATTGAAGTTTTATTTATTGATTTTATTTGCGGTTCAATATTTTTTTTAAGACTTAAAAATGAAAAATTTTCTTCATAAGAGCAGAAATTTGATTTTCTTACGCATGGTTTTTTTTACTTTAGGGACACTTTTATTAGCTTTTATAATTTAGGCGCAAGCTTTGAATTACCTCGAACCAGTGGCGTCCTGCACAAGTCCTTTTGTTCAAGGTATTTTTGATATTTTGTATTTTTGTTTTAAATTTTCTTAACCTTTATATTCTTTCCAATTTGGCCAATTAGAGACCAGAAAATATGCAGGGGTATTTTTTTCAGGGGGGGGGGATTATTTTCGATGATTGGGGGAAAAATGAAAAATGGGACATTAAAACGCAAGTTAATTAATTTTTTTTTTACAATTTTACCCAAAAATTCATTTATTTTCCTGTTAAGGATCAAACTTGGTTGAGATGTGCTTAAACCCGTTCCATTACTCCGTAGTGCCGCCAACTCCGGGGAATAAATCTCCAGGTGCCGCCAGGAAAAGTCCGATGAAACCCAGGTATGGTTGACTTGTATTTATCATTAAGTCTCAAAGGAACTTTTTCTTTTTTTTTAAGTAGGAAAAACATTTTTCATCTGTTTTCTAGGTTCTATAGTGGCATTTATCAATTTTTTTTAGAATAATAACAAAAATATCTTTACCATCTTTTCTTAGACACAGTTTATAATGTTCATGTTGTCTTTTCTTTAATGCACAATTATACAAAATCAACACATCCACAAAAATATCCGACTTCGAGTTATAATTTTATTTTTTTGTGACACAAATCAAATCTATAATTTTTATTCTTAAAAGTCTTTAGTTCATTGTCAAAAAATATTAACAATCCACCACCAGTTATATTAAATGCAATGTAAACAATAACTCTGTAACTGTCCTTTTCCTATTTTTCTTCCTTTTTTTAGATTTGGGGGGAAATATTCCCAATCTGTTTTTGTAGGTTTTAAATATTTTCTCCTGAAACTCTTAATTTTGCATGTTTTTGTTATATTTTATAGTTAAAGAATTACGAACTTATTACTTACTTAAAATGCTTCAGATAAAATATTTGTTATTTGTTTGTTTTCAGGAGTAATAAAAGTGTAACACTGAGCAAGAATCCTCTCATGGATTATTTAAAGTCTCAGGGTCAGGTATAAAGATTAACATCTTTCACAGTCCCTTAAACTGGATCAAACTTGCAAACAAACCCTTTAACCTCAAGAAAACTCGCAAAAAACCCCTTTAAACACGAGAAAACTTGCCTGCACTCCTTTTAATTTCAAGAAAACTCGCATACACTCCCTTTAATTTCAGAAAAATTGCATACGCTCCCTTTATTTACAAGAAGACTCTATTACTTTCCTTTAATCTCAAGAAAACTCGCATACGATCCCTTTAATATCAAAAATCTCGTAAAAACTCCCTTTAAGCTCAAGAAAGCTCACCTACACTCCCTTTAATCTTAAGAAAACGCGCACTTAATCCCTTTAAACTCGAGGAAATTCTCATTCAATCACTTAAATCTGGTCCAAACTCGTAAACAGCTTCTTTAAACAAACATTCTCTTTAATTTTAAGAACACTCGCTTACTATACCTTTTACTATCCTTTAGTTATTGAGAAACTTGAGTACTATCTCTTTAACACAATAATCTTAGGGGGTTAAGGTTGAGGAAGAAAGTGATTCAGATTTTCTCTCTGATTCATCCGACTCGGAGGATTGGGAGAACAAGTGGAGATCGGAGTCAATACTACCGGAGAAATCTAATCCTTCTCAGGGACGGAGAAAATTGATATATTGGTATTTCCTAACCTTCCCTCCTTCTCATATCTGATCATCGTTCAATTTCATAACTTTATCCCAATATATTCACGCACGCACCCCCCCCCCGTATCCTCCTGGGTTGCTTACACAGATATTAAAAATAAAACTTAATATCTGGAAAATAGATAATGGTATAAAAGAAAGGCTAAAAAAGAATTTAAACATTTAAATCCGGTTTGATCACCTTGTGTTGCAAATTAGTTCCTAATATTTTTTGACTCATATTATATGTAAACATTTTTTATCAGATTTAAATTATTAATTCTAAAAATGACAGAGCCAGCGATTTATAAAAAACATTTCTCCTGAATTAAGAATGATCCCGAGGAATTGATCAAGAAGATTAGATTCCTGGCCCTAAAGAGGAAAGAGGCAGATTCGGAGAGGACAGAGGCTATGATGAAGAGGACAGAGGCTATGGTGGAGAGGACAGATGCTTCTCCTAAACTCCTGGAAAAACTACGGATACTAGAGGATCTAAGATGTCTGTTTAAAGGAAAGATTGATCTCAGCTTTGCAACCAAATCTAATCAGAATAAACCCAAAACCAAAACTAGGTAAAAATTTGATTAACTAAATATGTTTGTCTGTATCCAGTAAACGATAATAAGGCTGAACCGATCTTATCCAACTTTTTTATGGTTACTTATGGTTAGTACTAAAAAATGTTGCCTCAAGATTATTAAATTTTTAAAAATAAATCATGATTCAATATCATTTTTAAACCGTGGAATAATCTTTAATTTAAACGACCGCAAATTTCTCATTTATATTCCGGTCATAGATTATCAAAAGTCCACCTGCTATATTGCAGTCAACTAAAACCTACGACCGTGGACACTGTGTCTCCGGTCGAGTCGAGCGTAAACCCCTGCCGACCGGAAACTTCCTTATATAAACCTGGATTCCGGTTAATTGAATTAGTTATCTCTAAGATATCAAACTATTGAAATCTCCTATTATGGAGTTTAATCATTCTGCCTTTTCTACTGTGGTTCAGTCCAACCTGGATACTAATACATCCTTACTATAGGCTTTACTAGATACCCCATCAAGCATTATAATGTACGAAGAGAATGGCTTGGGTCAGTTTCCAAGAGGACCTGGATACATGAATCCGATATCCCCATCCCAACCTTCTCAGCAGATCATGCTTTAGGAAAATCTTCAAGATTTCAGTCATATCATCTAGTTTCTGATTTTTTTTCCCCGTCTCCGGTTTAAAACCAAGTATCTCCGGTTCTGTACCAATCTGAGGACCTGGAGACGCAACGTTTTTCTCATCCTGATCCTTTACGTTCCCAGGTCTGGACGGAGATGTGTTGATTATAGTGTGGGACGAGGAACACTGATATCTCCCGCACTAACGTTTGCAATCAGGAACTTTTTAACTTTATCAATTTATTTATTTTTAATTTTTTTTATGAAACAAATTATTTGATACATGTATTTAATGCAGAATGCAGATAATCATTTTTCCAATCTTCTTGTTTCCTGGCTGTCCTGCTATGCTCGTTCTATTAGCTGCATACCCCCGCCCCCCCAGGAGGGTTAATATGCAGTTTTGAGATGCTGATCAGGCAATTTGTAGTATTTCAATTTCAGCTCTTGAGTTTCTGTATTTATTTCAGTTGTTTTTGATATCGGCCATCTATGCAGGTTTATTGCTGACATTTTTGTAATGAGAACTTCCCTTTTGTCAGCTGCATTACATGTATCAGTGTCTTGCAGTAATTTAGAAAGAAATTAAAAGACCTCCTAGCCTTAACTGCATTCGGGTAGGTTCAAGATGATTTAGATGTACCCCCTAGGAAAGGAACACTCATCATACCAATGATGATCTCTCTCAGAAAGTTTTGATTAAGATTCCACAGCAAACCAGTTCCTGAGTTCCACTATATCTGCTCGTGAAGTAGGATAAGGTTGGAATTTAGGAGGTAGGCGGATGAGGATGGGGGTGTAAGGGTAACAGGTATGAGAAATACCATAGTCCTCACTTTTAACGTGTTTTCCCACGTGGACAGATTTTTTTTAAAGAAAAAATAACCCGCTAAGCATGCTGTCCCATCGCTTTAAAACACGGGGAGTGTGTCTTTTCCCTATCATTGTCAGAGGTCTGCCATGAGTAATACAGTTTCCATTGTGAGGAGGGTGAAAAACCAGCTTATGGTATTTGATTTAAAGTCTATTGAAGGCTCTGTTCCCCCTTAAAACCTGTATCAGCATGTACTTCATCCCTGATGTTTTGAGTTTCTGTATTGCTTCTGTATTAATTTTTATTACTATATCTTGTTCGGGATTAGTCACGCTTTCCACTCAGTTGTGGAGAGAAGTGTCCTTGCTATCTAGACTTCTATACAAGTACAACGCACATAGCGCCCTTTCTCTCAACAGGCTTAGAAAGCTCTGCTGACACCCTTCCTCTGGGAGGTTCGGATACACACTACAATGCAATCAGGAACTAGATAACTTTCAATCACTCCTTTTTGAAAGCAATCAAAGTCGAAATTGCGTTGATCAAGAGTTCAAATTCAACCTTTCCCTTCCCACGACCCAACCTAGAAAATCCGGGAAAAGTGTCTCTGCGGATCTACTGACCAAGTGCGTGAACTGTATGACCTTGAAGACGAGCTTGTGGAGGAAAGATGAAGAGGAAAGACCGGTTTGTAACGCCTGCGGTCTGTATTACGAACTCCATGGAGTTAAGAGGCCAGCTAGCTGGTAAACGGATGTAACCAGTTCAAGAAAAAGAAATAAAAATCTAAAAAAGCTTTAAATATCATTGTGTCGCTAGTTTATACTAATTTTTTTTTTAATAAAAGCTAAATATTCAATGCAACAGTTTTCAGCTCAGATCTAAAGATATAATGGTAGGTTACAGAGATTTGATAGAGTTTTTTTTTGTTAGATTCGTCTTTAAACATACCTAACACATATTCTGCTAGCTAAACCAAAAGGTACAACTACACAAGATTTTATCTCTCATTTGATTTAGGAAATATCTGGCAAAACAACGTTTGAAGTATGAACAATCAAATCCTGATAAATCCGCCAAAAGTATCACTTCAAACATAACTTCCAATTCAATACCTAATCCTCAAAATTTATCCTTAAATTTTGACACGCCGTTGCCTTCAAGAGAAAGGGTAAAGGTTGAAAACGAAAACGTAAATATGAGCACTGATATGAGAAGTAATTTTGAATACGATGGTGGGATGATAAATGATGCAAGACAGGAGAAGGATGAAATGATGGGAGAGGATATAAGGATAAAAGAGGAGAGGATGGATGAGGAGGATGAAGAGGAGTTTATGGAGAATGAAAACAAAGATGAACTTCATATACAGGTAACTGGCAAAGTGTTAGGTAATTTCCCAAGGGGCAACTTACCAATTGTGCAATTTCCAAAAGGTTAGGCCTTCTGAGACGCTCCGGGTTGCAATTGGGGCCGAGCATTGTGGACAGGATAGACTTGGGTTGTTGTCGCTCGGGAATTTTCATATTTGGGAAGCTTCCGCTCGGCAAATTGTATATTTTATGTATGCTATGTTCTTTTATACTTAAAAAGTCTATTCTATGTATATACTTCGCTTGTTGTTTGTTTGTCTGTTTCCAATATACGTCAAAACGGCTGAACTAATCGACCCAATTTTTTGTGTCGCAACCAACGTGACCCCAGAAGATGTTCGAGTAAATTGAAAAATTTTGTTGGAAAACAAATCGTTGTTATTTTCTTTATGATTTCGCCAACCTTAACATAAAAATTCGTATAAAAATTGAATTTTCTAATTACAAATATTAATGGTGACTTCAAATGCAACATTTTCCGTTGTTTCATTATTAATTATTAATTGTGTTGCATTGTAATTTTTTGTCTAGGATTTACTGGGAAGCATCAAGGACTCTTTCGAGACAGATTTGGACATGGAGCTGGACACCTTCACCCACCAGGACCAGGAGGAATTCAATCACGAGGTCGGTCAGCTTATTCTTATTAGAACCATATTCAGCTTAAACTCCACTCAGAAGATTTTAAACCATATCCAGCTTAAACTCAGCTCTTGGGATTTTAAACCATATTCAGTTTAAGCTCAACTCTGGAAATTTTAAACCATATTTAGTTTAAACTCAACACTGGAGATTTTAAACCATATACAGCTTAAACTCAACTCTGGAGATTTTAAACCATATTCAGTTTAAACTCAACTTTGGAGATTTTAAACCATATACAATATACAATATACAATATACATACTGCTTAAAATCAACTCAGATTATAAACCATATTTAGTTAAAACTCAACACTGTATATTTTAAACCATATACATACAGCTTAAACTCAACTCTGGAGATTATAAACCATATTTAGTTAAAACTCAACACTGTAGATTTTAAACCATATACATACAGCTTAAACTCAACTCGGGAGATTATAAACCATATTTAGTTAAAACTCAACACTGGAGATTTTAAACCATATTTAGTTTAAACTCAACACTGGAGATTTTAAACCATATTTAGTTTAAACTCAACACTGGGGATTTTAAACCATATTTAGTTAAAACTCAACTCTGGAGATTTTAAACCATATTCAGTTTAAACTCAACACTGGAGATTTTAAACCATATTCAGTTTAAACTCAACACTGGAGATTTTAAACCATATTTAGTTTAAACTCAACTCTGGAGATTTTAAACCATATTCAGTTTAAACTCAAGACTGGAGATTTTAAACCATATTCAGCTAAAATTTAATTAGCAAGAAATAATATATTTTCTGTCCTAGGAGTTCCAGCAGTTTAGTATTGCAAATACATTTTCTATCTCAGGGTATACATCACCCAGCATTCAGGTAACTACTAGGGGTATACATCACCCAGCATTTAGGTAACTACTAGGGGTATCCATCACCCAGCATTCAGGTAACTACTAGTGGTATACATCACCCAGCATTCAGGTAACTCTACTAGGGGTATACATCACCCAGCATTAAGGGAGCTCTACTAGGGGTATACATCACCCAGTATTCAGGTAACTCTACTAGGGGTATACATCACCCCCCCTTCAGGTAACTCTACTAGGGGTATACATCACCCAGCATTAAGGTAACTCTACTAGGGGTATCAGGGGGCCGGGTCGGACAATATTTTCGTTGCCTGGGGGAACGGGGGTTTAAAAGTGAACTGACAATCTTTTTTCTTCTAGATGTGCGTTGCAAGGATAAATGTATCTGACAAACATTCCCCCCCCCCCCCATGGAACTGAGCCTTTGCCACAAACTCATATTTTCTATTCACTATATATTCCCTATATCTGTTAATCTGACGCTCAACGACCCAATTGGAAAACCCATGACCGGAGATATTAAGATTAATTTAATTTTCTAAACTTCAACCTACTACTTGAACGGATAAAATGTTCAATCGCAGAAAGAATGAGTTTAAAACTAAATTAAATTATTTTGTACCCGCTCATCCGACCTATAAGAAAATCGAGTTAAGGGTTTTCCGACCTAAAATTGAATTAGATTTTAGAATAGGTAAGGTTAGGTTAGTTTAGTCAAGGTAGGTGAAGACGGATTGGGGAGTCTTTTTAAACCCTTATAAGTGCACGGGGAATGATAATAAGGTCGGAAATTCCTTGACACAGTTTCCTCTAAATCAGTTTCCAGAGCATCAATTATTTATTCAAACCTGGTCCCATTTTTTAAATTTTTTTTCAAGTTAAATTTTTTTTCAAGTGGTCCTAGAAAGAGTTTTATGCTTGATTACACATCGGTATCTTTTAAACCGTTGCATGTCGTGTGTAAAACTGAATGATATATCCTAGTTTTCTGTCTAAAATTGATAATATTTCATTGAAGTATTTTCTTAGATAAAGGTTTCTTAAAGGTTAACGCTGTGAATCGGGCATGTAGTGGCTCACTTTAGATCAAGTCGACCGTCCTGTTAAAAATGCAAATTGCAATTAAATTCATCAATGTTCATCAATGTTATGTTAAGAAAATGTTTCAATGGTGTAACACTTAAAATAGAGGGTACTTGAGATTTCGTTGATAATAATATACTATTTTAGGACAAGGATGAAAGCAGTCTGCCTGGTTCAGATCTTGATCTAGGAGATCTAGGAGTACAAGGAGGTCTAGGACAGAGTTCTGATGCTCTGCTGGTTGGAGCTGAGGAGGGTTCTCCGGGTATACTGGAGAACAGGGATACTCTACCTTGTATAGTGAGTAGCTGGAGTGTAGAGGGAGGGGAGGATAATGATAATAGTTTTCTTATGTTTGATACATAGCTCCCCCTTTCTCCAGAACAGATTTAGATTAATTATCACAAAAGGATTGTTTTACCCTGATAAGTTTATGTTAAAAAACGCATTTTGTTTTTTTGTCTGTTTTGTAGCGATGATATTTTATTGATTTGCATTAAACCACCGGCTGCTAATTAAAGTTACACAAGTTTTCAAGATTGGGTCGACTTTAAAGTGTTGCCACGCCTTGACCTTTAATTTTACTTCACTAACTCATATATACTTTTCGTAGCCCTAGACAATAGACATGTAATGCATAAGAACAATTTGTTTAAAATGGCCACATCATTTTGGATCCTTAAAACTAAAATTTTAAAGGTTTTGACAAAAAAAAACAATTCAATGAGTTGTTTAGAACAGATAAGTTCTATGGGCCCCTGATTCCTACGATAATTATAAATGGATACTTTTTGGGTTGTCTGTTTGTTTTTATCTAATAAACGTCAAAACGGTTGAACCGATGTGGCATTTTTTTAATGGAATCTCATTCACCTGGACTCTGTTCGAATGCTTTGTAAAACCTTTTCCTCAACAACTTTTGATTTGTCCTAATTTTGGAAATCCACGATTTTTAACACATAAAAATCCGCGAATTTCAAGAAATTGGGATTTATTTTATCATTAACTGGACAGAACAAATCCAGTTGTACCGATACGACACATCTCGTCCTAGCCAGACCAAATTGAGTTTGATCTAGTGGTACCGACACGACACATATCGTCCTAGCCAGCCCAAATTTAGAAGGATCTAGTAATACTGGCTCGGACAGATATCAGCTGATAACTGTGACGAAACATACCTGACGAAACTTATATAATTTCTGTAAACTTCGAGGGGCTAAGTTATACGTTTAAAAACAAGTCTATGCATTTGATTTTACTTTAATTACAAGTTGTGAATATTTTTCGAAATGTTTAAATTTTCCGTAATATTTCATAGTTTATGTAAGTAAATGTTTCAGAAAAAGCTCGGGTTGTAATAAAATGGAGTCGAATCTGTGCAACTGAAGCAAAATGATGAAACGGGTGTTGGTGTCTCGAGGCCCTCTGTGGAACAAACGTTGTCTCGTAAAAAGATTTTATTCAAAAGATACGCAGGTTAGAATGTTTGTTTTAAATTTTATATTTCAATCAAACAGATAATCTTTTAGCACTAATCTACGAAATAGTTGTAAAGATATGGTAGTTCAGGAAAGTGTTAAATTATGACAATTTTCTTCTCTCTCTTCTTTTGTTTAAATGCGAGAGTCAGTGTTGTGATAAGCTAAAGATGAAAATTAAGAATTTGAAGATAGGAGTCAAGGAATACCTCCATCAGTTTAGCTCAGGCGACAAGACCTAAGGTTTAACGGTTACCGTTGTATATCGGACATGTCCAGGGGCACCTAAAAGTACGTCTACACAATACTCCCTTTAAACTGAATTTATATAAATGCTGTTTTGTTTTCAACGTTCTTTTAAGTTATGGAATGAGAAGAGGGTTGTGGGATATTCATGCGAACAGTTATTTCATGTAGTCTCTCAGGTAATATTTTTGGCCTTTTTTTGGGAAATGGCCGGTCAGGGGGGGGGGCAGCATCAGGGGTGTATATTTTGATTTAACATCCTTAATTTTCCACAGAAGTTAAGAATGTTACCTCGTAAATTGACGAAATCATTACTGACTAACTCTTTTTGAACAAAAAAACTCAACTTAACATTTTTGTTTTCCCATTTGTTTAGTTATTTCGTCAAGCAGACTTTCAAAATCTTTTTGAGTGTTTTGAATGTGTACGGGTGAGGCGGGGGGATTATTAAAAACGTTGAAACCCTTATTTTAAACATTTTCAGGTTGAAGAGTATCAGAATTTTATCCCCTACTGTAAAAAATCTGTTGTAACTCTCAGGTTTGATTCGCTAAAAAATGTTTTTTTAGTAACTTTTTTAGTTTTCCGTTTTTTATTTTTTCTGTTTGTGCCATTCGTCATTTTGTTTAAGACCGAATTTTTATTTCACCGCCAATTTTGAAAATGTAATTGATTTTCTAAACGAATTCCGTTGATAAGTTTTTTTAAAATCTATCAAAAGGTATTATTCTGTTTATCAGTTTTGAAAAAACAAGACAAAGAAATGGTTTTTTTAACGATAAAAATTAAATGATTTGACCCCCCCCCCCCCCCCCCCCCCCCCCCCCCCCCCCCCCCCCCTANAACCATATCTTGTCACAGCACTGTGTAAAGGTATTCTCCAATATATCCTACACCTCCCATGTTACCCTGGTTAAACCATATCTTGTCACAGCACTGTGTAAAGGTATTCTCCAATATATCCTACACCTCCCATGTTACCCTGGTTAAACCATATCTTGTCACAGCACTGTGTAAAGGTATTCTTCAATATATCTTACACCTCCCATGTTACCTTGGTTAAACCATATCTTGTCACAGCACTGTGTAAAGGTATTTGATTTTCAAGCAGTCTAGTATCCAGCACAATTATACACAGTTCTAACAATTATTCTCAACTAGTGAGACCGGATACCTACTTTCAAGTATACCCTAGTTTGGCTTTATCAATCCGCTCATATTTTTTTTGTAGTCATGGATAAGAAGATTGACGAGTGATTTATTTTTGCTTAAGATTTGATGAAGTTTTTGAAAAAATCCGATTATGTATGCACATTGCTGCACAATGCACATTGCACATTTTTTTTTTTTTTAAACATTTTTTTTGTTCAGATATGAATTTGTTTGAGCATCTTCATACTGTTTGGAAGTTTACTCCGCTGCCTGAGAATCCAAACCATACTCTAGGTATGCAAACCACTCGCATTGTTGACGCAATGCCATATCTGATTACCGACGGTACCCTTTAATCCTCAATTTGAGTTAGAATTAGGAAGATTTCGCCTTTTTTCCATCTATTATTTGATAATGGAAATTTCTTTCATTATCGTTGAAGCACAAGTCTACGTATAAGTTTTCAGGGAAACCATCTTTCGAATTTATCAGCTTTTGGATATAATACCAGAACTTTTTTTCATCCTTAGAATGTGAAAAAATTAAGTCAGATTTAATTTTTTTAGTTTCTATTAAACCTAGCTTAGTAATTACTTAAATTACTTAAAAAAAGGTTTTTTTCAAATTTTGCTGATTTCATTTGTATTTTCCCTTTTTTATTTAAATTAGTATTTTAGTTGATTTCGCGGTTTCCTTCAAGTTTCGGAGCTCTTATCATTCATTCGTTGCAAACCTGTTCATCGACGATATTGTGAAGAAGAATATTCAATCATTTTTGAACCGGGCCGAGGTAGTTTACGGTCCTCAGGGTGCAGTTGATCACCATTCAGAGATTATCAAACAGTCAAAGAAGATTTCTGAATTAGGATCAGCAAATGTTACCAAAAAGAAGATATGACAATTGCTGAGGGACGATATGTTTCGTCCAATTAAAATTTAATGGGCTGTGAATTATGAATAATGAATTATAAATTATATTGTTTAATTTCAGAAAATATAAAAACTAAAATGGCAATGATGAGAGCAGCCCTGAAGTTGAGACCTCTGGTCCAAACTGTTCCTAGTGCAGCCTACCATGAGAAGGTAAGAGGGTGTCATCCTGATTTAAATGGACTGTTAACGTTTTTTTTCAAGAGATCTTCCATTTTAAGTGTTACTTTTTGGTGATGTAGATGTCATTGTTATAAACTGAAAAATTTAAGATTTCTCTTTAGAAGTCGTTTGCTGAATTATTGTAGCAGAGAGAAGTATGGGAATTGTTAGAACATATCTCTTTTCAAGATATAAATGCGACAAACCTTCGTCATGGAAATTACGTCAAAAATGTTTTGTCGCTCTGTGCAACTTTCTAATGGAATTGTGAACCAAAAATAAATTTTACAGAACAAATCATCATTTATTTAAACTGCTTTTTTAAAAATCACTCGCATTAAATATCTGTTAGTGAAAGGAATTACCAGCATCACTCGCATTAAATGTCTGTTAGTGAAAGGAATTACCAGCATCACTCGCATTAAATATCTGTTAGTGAAAGGAATTTCCAGCATCACTCGCATTAAATGTCTGTTAGTGAAAGATATTTCCAGCATCACTCGCATTAAATGTCTGTTAGTGAAAGGAATTACCAGCATCACTCGCATTAAATGTCTGTTAGTGAAAGGAATTACCAGCATCACTCACATTAAATGTCTGTTAGTGAAAGTAATTTCCAGCATCACTCACATTAAATGTCTGTTAGTGAAAGGAATTACCAGCATCACTCGCATTAAATGTCTGTTAGTGAAAGGAATTACCAGCTCCAACATTAATAAAATTCCGGTTTGTACAGAGCGTCCCATATTATATTAGATTATCTTCAATCTTTAAATCTGTAATTTAGACCCATTGACTCGGTCTAATATGATGTGGGACACCCTGTATCCGCTCTTCAATACTGAACTCACCTTTATATTTATATTCACATTTAGATAATTATAAATAATTTCTCATCTAATAATTATGATTTTAAGCCGTTTTAAGTCATTTATCTTTAAATTTGAAAACGTTAAAACTTTTTAAAGAGAGGCAACGCTTACATTACTTATGAATTAGGTTAAAAGTTTGTTCTCAGATCAAAAAAAGATCGGGGAAATAGAAACCTGCTTTTTCACATATCAAGTACTCATTTGCTTGAATTTTTGAAGTCATGTTATACCACTGTTATTCACCTTTTGTACTTCTCAGGTTATCGACCACTACGAAAACCCGCGAAATGTCGGCAAGATGGACTCCAAGAAGAAGAATGTCGGAACCGGTTTAGTTGGAGCCCCAGCCTGCGGTGACGTCATGAGGCTTCAGATTGAGGTTGACGACAACGGAAACATTGTTGACGCCAAGTTTAAGACCTTTGGTTGTGGCTCTGCTATCGCTAGCAGCAGTCTTGCTACTGAATGGATTAAGGAAAGCAAACTATAATTTAATTTAAATTTCTTTTGAAAATTGCGGCCATGAATTTTTTTTATACTCATTAAACAATTAACTTATTTTTTTATAATTTCTAACTCATTCTTCAACTGTTATTTACTTTTTGATGGGGGAGGGGATGTTATCTACATATATGAGGTAATAATCTCGGTGTCCGATCATTACTCATGAACCCATTGACCGATATTCCTCAAATTTTGATTGGGGAACTCGGGAAAACCACGGGAATGTTCTCAGTGTAGTTTTGAGATTCTAAGTTAAATGGGTCCACAGGGATAAATAGTTAAAATCGTAATGAGCGACTAAGCACGGCTAAACGGCGGGAGTAACTAGAGTACACTGGGCAACGCTGGGTTCTTAAGCTAGTATTTATATATATTTTAACCTACGAAATAACTGGTTTGCCTCCTTCAGGGCAAGAACATGGATGAAGCCGGTAAGATCAAGAACAGCGATATTGCTAAGGAGCTGTCCCTGCCCCCAGTCAAGCTCCACTGCTCCATGCTGGCTGAAGATGCTATTAAAGCTGCTCTTAAGGACTACAAGCTCAAGCAGACAGCTGCTACTAACTAGAGCTTTAGATCTATAAAATATATACTCTCTGAATTAAATATCTTAATAGTGTAAATTTATAACATTTATACTACTGCTATTATGATTAAAAATATCTATAACTGGAATCATTTGGGAATTTTTGAACATGGATATATTTTCATGATTAGTTGGATGCTAGAATTGAAATTTTTCCAATTTTTCAATAAATTTAATTTTTGAACTCCGACATGTATTTCTTATTTGTCGGAAGCTCGTTAGTGCATCATTAAATATATTATTCAAATTATTAATATTTCAGATAATGATGCAATAAATCTAGAACCTTAGGAAATAAAAATGACCTTCCGGTTTTTAGGAAAATAAAGGTGAGGAGCCCATTTCTAAGCTCAACAGTTGATGGTCGTTTGATGGGGGGGGGGGGGTTGATTTCCAGAGATTCTAAGGGAAAATATTCTAAAAATCAGTTTTCCATTTATGCTATCAAACTATATTTACAAATTTTTAAACTTAAAGTTATGTCTATTAATCATCAATAGATAAGAATGGCCCTTGACTTCAGGACTTTGAGGGGAAATTAGTAATTTTAGTATTAGTAAAATTCAGGTCAATATTTTAAGATAAATTTTTAATTGCGATTTATCCATTGGTAGGAATTTAAAAATGCCGCGTGGTCGGACCTATGACCCTAGGTCGACCTCTGGTCTAACCTCGGATCAGCTGAGGTCTGTAGCTCTTATCCCGGGTCTACCTCAAACCTTTCTCGCTATACTAGAGAACCTCAGGGAATTTCTAGTTTTTTGGAAACTTAAGAACTCATTGAATCGCTGTGATAGAAGTACTATTTTTAAATAAGAAATGTAAATATTAAAAACGGAATGATACGAGTTAAAAATGATGTAACGCAATCTGTGTATACTGTGATAATAATAAAAAATGAATAAAACCCTACGCATAAATATATCATGAGAGCAGACAAGTAAAGTAAAATATATTGTTTGCTTTATATTTGGAATGTCTTGCCAACGTACACAAAGGAACGTAATATTAAGTAACCACTAATAAAGGATGCCCAATTTACAACCTTTGTTCGATCAAGAATAAATATCGTATTTTACCGTAACTGAGACCGAATTTAAAGAATTTGAGCGGTGGCTTAAAAACTAATGAAATCCAGCGGAAAGACGAGCGGAGCTCTAAAACCTGGTGAGGTCGCAAATTCAGAATTGGTTGCAGAGCTTATCAATATTATCAGGTTGAGATTTATTGGTTAAACAATTAATCGATTAAATATATTGATTTTTAAAATTAATTGATAGACTTGTTGGTGAATTAAAATGATAAATTAATTGAACGAAAATTTTATGGATTTTCTTTTAATTTATAAAAACTATAATTTTGAGATTTTATACTACAGTGATAACCAGAAAACTCTGAAATAGGAAGACGACTTTACACTCAAGTTATGACTTCAGATAGTCCAAACGGCAATAGTGTTAGAAAACAGACCCATTTCACTGAATTAGGGATTTAATAAGTGTCTAGTAAAAATGCTTTGTAACACTATCAAGTAGACTGAAGTATTGCTAGAAAGTCGTCTACCTATTTCTGAGTTTTCTGGTTATCACTGCTAGAGGAATTATTTTAAGGTTCTTGATAGGTTGATTGAATATTCTAAATTAGTTAAACTTAGTTTTATTATTTGATAATTTTGTTTTTCAGTGATGATTATAATAACCTGTCATCTGAATATTTGGAAGCTGCTCAAAGAATCAGCAAACTCCGCCTTCTTTACTCCTGCTGCTCTTTGCTGCTCCCAGACTTAAAATCTAAACAGATAAGCAGCTTACTTGACCTCTTATGTAAGCTGATAAATGCTGCTACCAGGGTAGATAAGATATTGAAGTTGGAGGAGACGCTGCATATTTTAAAACTGCTGACAATCTTTGTCAGCAGTTCAGCAGAGAAAATCGGAGATCGATTAGGTAAATAAAACCAACCTGGATGAAGGGGGAAGGGTGTTTAGGTAAATAAAACCAACCTGGATGAAGGGGGGAGGGTGTTTAGGTAAATAAAACCAACCNATGAAAGGGGGGGGGGTGTTTAGGTAAATAAGACCAACCTGGATGAAGGGGGGGGGATGTTGTAGTACTTATTCCTTTTACGTATTTAATTTTAGATTATTTAGATTACATCTACAGCCTTTTTAAATTGATGAAATGTCATGATATCCATGATATTATGTTATCACTTCAGGGGTTCTGCCAGCTTAAAATAGTTCTGGTTTAAGACGGGGTAATTTTGTTCATGATATTTATTTAAAAAATTGACAGATTTTCACCAAAAATTGGTATATTCCCAATAATTCCCATTGGCATATCCCTCCAAATTGGCAGGGTTTCTTTCCAAATTGACGTGGTATCCGTCCAAATTGACGTGGTTTCCTTCCAAATTGTAAGATTTCTTCCAAATATAAAATCAGTCGGTCAGATTGACTCACTCAAATAGGTTCTGAAAGGAACCTTGTATTAAAGCTTATTGTATAATTTATCTTAACATATTTATTTAGGTGAGATCCTTGGTTATCTATTTGTTCTCTCCGGGTTGCATAAATCCAGTGAAGGGATATCCTTGGTTCCAACTAATCTGCCTCATCTTCATTTTACTCAAACTCAGGTACTTTATCAAACAATATCAAACTAAACTTTATTTTACTCAAACTCAGGTACTTTATCAAACAATATCAAAATTAACATTAAATTAAATATTCTTCATGAAAAATTATGATTTGACCAGGTTGCAATATTCCAATTTTCTCAGGGTGTCAAGTTTCTTAAACGTCTTTTTAACTTCAAAATTTAAACCTTATCTTTAACCTTTAACCTACACAAAAAAAGAGATGAATTAACATTAAACAATTTAGTTAAAAAGTATGAAACAAGTTTTCAATATTCATAATCTCGATCAGAATTATTGCTTTATTTTTTGGATTCAACCTTATGTATCAGGATGGGCCCAGAAGAGAATCCTCGTGCACGGATACCTCAGGTTCAGAGTATTCAGATCAGGTTAGTGTTATAAACGTTTTCTCGCTTTCTGATACTTTTTTACTTGAAATTGTGAATAGTTTCTCTTTGATTTGGTCCTTAGTCAATACCAAAAAACCATACACTCTTTTCAGTGAGATCCAACAAAAAGATTCAAAATGAACCCACAATAACAGACTAGATTGTGTGAATTTGAGCTAGGTCTTAAGATGGTTCAATTACGTATAATAAATTGGTAATTAAGAAATGTGGACCGTCCCATAGATCTAAACTATAGTTAAGTATTTGAATTCAGGATTGTCTGTCATATAGATATAAACTATAGTATTTGAATTCAGGATTGTCTGTCATATAGATCTAAACTATAGTTAAGTATTTGAATTCAGGATTGTCTATGTCATATAGATATAAACTATAGTTAAGTATTTGAATTCAGGATTGTCTATGTCATAAAGATCTAAACTATAGTTGAGTATATGAATTCAGGATTGTCTATATCCTATAGATATAAACTATAGTTAAGTATATGAATTCAGGATTGTCTGTCATATAGATATAAACTATAGTATTTGAGTTCAGGATTGTCTATGTCATATAGATATAAACTATAGTTAAGTATTTGAATTCAGGATTGTCTATGTCATATAGATCTAAACTATAGTTAAGTATTTGAATTCAGGATTGTCTATGTCATATATAAACTATAGTATTTGAGTTCAGGATTGTCTATGTCATATAGATATAAACTATAGTTAAGTATTTGAATTCAGGATTGTCTATGTCATATAGATCTAAACTATAGTTAAGTATTTGAATTCAGGATTGTCTATGTCATATAGATATAAACTATAGTTAAGTATATGAATTCAGGATTGTTTATGTCATAAAGATATAAACTATAGTTATGTATTTAAACTCAGGATTGTCTATATCTTTTAGATATAAACTATAGTATTTGAATTCAGGATTGTCTATATCCTATAGATCTAAACTATAGTATTTGAATTCAGGATTGCCTATATCCTATAGATATAAACTATAGTTAAGTATTTGAATTCAGGATTGTCTATGTCATAAAGATCTAAACTACTTCACTGCAGAACAACAGATAAGTATTTGATTCGACAGATTTCCGCGACCTAGCTCAAAATCAAATTCATTAAAATCGGTCCAAAAACATGCTTACAATAAAAATTGTTTAGGAGTTAATTTGTGATGTTGATGCGAGGAAGCGGAAGGAAGAAGGATTCATTGAGAAGGAAGCATTAACTGCCGTAGATGTTCTCGTGAAAAAGTGCCATAAGGTTCAATCAATCAATTACACATCATATTTTAATATGCGTCTATTTTACTTAAAAACTAGAATATTATCGATAAGAAAATATCTTCTTTATATAAATTCTAGAATATTAGAACTATTTTAAATTTTATTGTTAGTTTAATCTTTTTTGGTTTGACTACTGGATTTTCTCTTGAAAATTCTATTCCCAAAATAACAATTTTTAACATCGCGGATTATAAATTTCAGATTTGATAAGAAATCTATTCTCTACAGGCTATTCTATAAATTAAACCTTATTTTTTAAACAGTTACTATTTTAAATACAAAAAATACACTCTTTCTAATATTTTAAAATGTTATCATTGATTGATTGGTTGGTTGATTGATTGATTGTTGATTGATTTAGAAAGATATTGTCTCCTACTGGTTTATTTTCCTACCTGATAAATGTTACTGTCCGATGCAGGTAGGATCTTTAATCTTATATTAGTGGAATTTGACGCTTTTCAATAAAAAAGTACTTCCAATGCTTTTCAAGTGGACCTCTATTAGCAGTTTAAAGAGAAACATGTCCACATCACAATAGCGGCCCTTAAACGTTCATCTGAGAAACAATGTTAAACGGACTGTTCGCAAAAAATGAAGGGGCTATGAAAAAAAATTATCGATGGTGAATGCTACTAATCTTAATTCTATTTGTTCCGTCTAAAATGAGAAAATTGTTAAAAATTGTCTATATAAATTCAGAAAATTGCAACATTCGACTCGGATTATTAAAAAAATCAATTAAATTCCAAACAAATCATTCAGGTATTGTATTTCAACCTATAATCATTGATAATTTTTTGACGCATTTGTATATAGTTGATATTTCATAATATTTTTTGTTTGATTATATTCATTCATAGAATGGAATATCCTCCTTACTGTCACATCCTTGTAAGAAACTAAGAATGGCCTCTATCAACATTCTCGTGGATTTTCTTAATCATTCTCATCAGTTTCTAGCACTTGCTCAGCATCAGGTTAGTTCTCATCAGTTTCTAGCTCTTGCTTAGCATCAGGTTATTTCTCATCAGTTTCGAGCACTTGCTCAGCATCAGGTTAGTTCTAGTTCACAGTGTCAAGTAATCCTTCAAACACTTTTAGAAATATCCTTTGAATAAGACAAATAAGTTTAAACGGAAATTAGACCAGTGAGCGCAATAATCATTAATTCAAACTGGCATAACCATTAATTCAAAACGCCCTACTATATGATTGTAATTGCTTTGGAGACGGTACTTCATAAGAAATATTTGTCTGATGTACAATTACCGCGTATACAATAACCTATTCTGAATATTTATCATACAAATGGAGTATCCGTCTGTAAAGCATGCATAATCTGCATAATCATATGGTAGGGCTGCGTCAGTTGTATCTCCCTTCTATTCCATACTTCTTGGTTGTCAATCGTCATTAAACGATTCGCCGAATTGACTGAGGAGCTTTTTGTGCAAATAAACAACATAATTGGGATTTTCGGTCCCAGTTCTAATTCGCATCACATATTTTTGAATTGGAAGACGACCTTTAACCAATGTTCAATATTCATTGCACTATTATTTAAAATTATAACAGTCGTCTACCTATTCCACAGTAATGGGTCTCACTGTATTGTTTATCAGGAAAAAGATACGAGCTACACTTCCCTCTCTTCTGCTCTGGCGCTCTCCATGTTGAACCTACACAAAATTTTGCTCACCAGAATACTGGTAAGTACATATATAATAATTAATTATAATTATAATATTATTATAATTAATTATAATTATAATATTATTATTAATTAATTAAAATTAAAGGGACTGTACACCTAATATTTCAAGCTCCTTAACCTCCATTTAAAGTGCAGCTTTTTTTTCGTCCATTTAAAAGGCAAATTTTATTGTCACAATTTTCAATCTCGGGTTTATATTTAAAATTCTCCATGAAGTTACTAAATAAGATTAACGTATAGGATAACCCGTAGCATTTTCTTTTTTAAAACTTTAGCAATTTAAAAAATTCCAAATTCTCTTGTCATTTATTTCTAACAAGCCTTTCATTTTGTCCTTGAATTTTCAAAATATTTTTTTTATCATTTAACTTTCAAACGTACAATTATCTTTTATTATTATTATTTCGTATCTATCTATTATTATGCTGCTGCTGGTAGTGCCAACACTACAAGAATTCTACCCCTCGACCCGGACTTATCTAATATTGGCGGTCCGGCTTTTTAGCAAAGCATAGTGCAATGGTTTATGCTCGCGCGGGTGGGTCACATTGTAAATGATTCCCAGGTGGTATGGCGTTTACCTTCAAAGAAGGGTAACTCGCTATGCCTCTCAGTCTCAGGTATACCTGGACGTAAAGAAAGTTGTTAAATAAACTATTAAATCTAACCCTACGGTTTTTAGGAACCTTTGGGTAACACAGAGTATGTGGCGCTTCTTAAACTATTCGCAGCAGTTGGAGAAAACAGTTCTTACTCCAGGTACTTAAATCATACAGACCTAGAGAAACCAGTTCTTACTCCAGGTACTAATATCATAAAGACCTAGAGAAACCAGTTCTTACTCCAGGTACTTAAATCATATAGACCTAGAGAAACAAGTTTTTACTCCAGGTACTTAAACCATATAGACCTAGAGAAACCAGTTCTTACTCCAGGTACTTAAATCATATAGACCTAGAGAAACCAGTTCTTACTCCAGGTACTCGTATTATACAGACCTAGAGAAACCAGTTCTTACTCCAGGTACTTATATTATGCAGACCTAGAGAAACCAGTTCTTACTCCAGGTACTTAAATCATATAGACCTAGAGAAACCAGTTCTTACTCCAGGTACTTATATTATACAATCCCTAGAGAGTCGAAGACTCCGCTATGATTTAATTGAAACCTATAAAATTATTCATGGTGTTAATAAGGTTGATAAATGTACGTGGTTTTTAATGTTAGCATGTACATTCAATAGAATTACAAGAATGTCAAAAAATCCTCTTTTACTTAGTGCCAATTTTTGTAGAACTGATATTCGTGAACATTTTTTTAGCCAAAGAGTTGTTTCTCCATGGAAATGGATTTGCCGTTTAATATAAAAACTGGGCCAGATATGATAAATATGTAAAAAATTCTTATCTGTTCTTGTTTCTATTGTTGGGACTAAAAGAGCCCATTAAAGATTACAAAAAAAGAAAAACAGAAAGGTCAAATTTAAAAAAAAGAAGCAAATGTCGAGAGTTATCATTAATACCCAAAAAAAAGAAAAAAAATGTCCTTTATATTTAATCGTAATGCACTAGATATGCGTAAATATTGAATACTAGCTGAAGTTGCCCGTAAAAAAAATTTGAAAAAAAATGTTGAAAAAATATTTTGGAACAAAAAATTAGATTTTTTTAGCCTTTGACACCCCGTCGCCCCTCTTGAGTGTCCACAAAAAATTTCAGCCTGATCGGTCCAGCCGTTTGGCCGGCTATAGACAACATATATATATATATATACGAATATCTTGTTTTATTATATAGATAATAATTTTTGCATATTAATGTGATCTGTGCAATATGCATCCTTGTGAATATCGTGAAAACAATCTGAAACTTTCTTATATAATAACATAAACATACAGACCCAGAGATAACAGTTCTTACTCCATATTTAGATTATCTCCTGGTCTAGTGGATAGAATGGTCAACTCATTAATGGAACTGGCGGAGAGGGAACGAAATCCTGTTATTCAGGTTGGTTTTCTCACTTTTTCCTTCACTTTTCTTTCTTCCTGTTCCTCTATATTTTATTATTTTTCATATAGGAATCCGCTCTTTAAGGTTGGACTCTATTAATTTTCTCTTTTCTTCCACTCTGTCTAAATCTTGTTTTTATAACTTTCTTGTCTCCATTTTCTTTCTTATTTTCTAATTCGTTAGTTTTTTTCTCGCATTCTCTTATTTCTTCACTTTTTTTCCTTCCTTTTTTGAAGCATTATATTTTTTTATTTCCTAAATTCGCTTTCACTTTAATAAATTTTAAAATTTTGCATTTAAAAAATGAGAAAATATGTTTTTTTCTGTAACTTATTTATATTTATTTACTTAAAGGTTGCTGTTCTCTCTGTGTTCGTGTCTCTAGCTCATGGTCCTAATATACCTGATCTTAAGCTAGTCTCCAGGGAGATGTTTAGGTTTATCCGTCCCAGGACACTTCCAGTCCCACAGGTGATATTGGTGGGGTGGTTGATTGGTTGGTTGAGAGGTTAGTTGGTTGGTTGGTTGGTTGGTTGTTTGTTTGGTTGATTGGATGGTTGGTTGGTTGGTTGGTTGGTAGGTTTGTTGGTAGGTTGGTTGGCCGGTTGAGAGGTTGATAATTTAATTTTTAAAAAATTATTTTGTATAAATTTAGGATTTACAGATCTACTTTGGTCATTAATTGCTTAGTTTTATCAGTTTATTTTTAATTAATATAAACTAGATAGATTTCTTGAAATATTAATATTTATATATCGTAGAGCCTAGTGTCAGATAACAATGTAAGATATATGTCTCTACAAGCCCTCTCCGTTCTTACACTACTAGATATACAGGTATACTACAAAAATATCATACTACTACTATTATTATTATTATTATTATTATTATTATTATTATTATTATTATTATTATTATTATTATTTTTATTATTGTTTTTATTGTTATTGTTATTGTTTTTTGTTATTGTTATTGTTATTGTTATTGTTATTGTTATTGTTATTGTAGGAAAAGTTTTTAATACGTTTATAACAATATGAAGTGTAATTCAGACAAGTATAATCAAGACAAAATTCAGAAATCAAACAACAATTATTAAAACCAGTTTGACAACCAAATCTTAGAGGTTACATCTTTGCGCACTAATAAAACATTTATTTTGGCGTCCTTACGGATCCAAAAGTGTGAAAATTCAACATGTATGTTTAAATATAAAGTTATGGCCCCCATAGCCCTCATTTGTGCTGAGGGTTTCTTGCATTTTATTATGATTTTAAGCAATCTCGTAAACTATTTAATATCGTTGGATATGGTTTGATTTGATTTGATTTGATTTGATTTGATTTGATTTGATTTGATTTGATTTGATTTGATTTGATTTGATTTGATTTGATTTGACTTGTCTCAGATATTTTTAACTTGATGAAAATGTTTAGATGTTTATAAAGAACGCGACTGATGTAAAGTCTGTGATAGATATTAGTCTAAAGGATTCAGATCCCTCCATTGTTCTTCACACTTTCAGGAACAAACTTCACAAATATTTATCTATTCAGAGCCGATCGCTTAATCTGAATATCCACTGTGGACACTTTTGATTTCTGTTAAATTTGGTCTTTTTCCCTCTGTTCGGTTTTCAACCGATGAGTTCTCTCATTTAATGGTGCGTAAGATTCCGCATACCTCACTTTTATCGACACTGCTAAGCAGACTTAATCGACACTGCTTTTAACTTCTCAAATGTACAATTTTCAATAGGATCTAAGTCTTTGTCAGAAACTTTTCTCATCCCTATATCTTTATTTTTTGTAATGTAAAAAGAGTGTCTTATTTTATTATTTTGATAATTGTCTTTATTTTCATTAAAAATAAGTTTTAATGAAAATAAAGACAATATTTCCAAAAAATATCATTAAATTCGTAAAAATAATTTTGAAGTTTTGTTCGTTTCTAGATTTATTAAAAACTTTGCCAAATATCTGACAGAAGTTGTAAATGTATTAAAAGCTGGAGTCATGGTTTGAGGATTTTTAAAGCTTATATATTCTAGAGGTTTTATCTTCAACCCTCATTGAATTATAATTTAGTGTTGTTATTAAACTCCCTCAAGAAACATCAACTTTTTTATGAGGATCTTACCTAGGAACCCGAGTCCCGGCTGAAAAACCTGACGATCGCGTTCTGGATCGATTTCTTAAAGCCGGTCAACTTCCTGCTGCTGGAGAAGCACGGCAGTGCTAACATCAGGTCCGCCTTCTGCGACTGTCTGGCGGAGATAGGTCCGAGCCTGTTCTCCAAGCTCCCGGAGCCTAAACGGATTCTCTGCATTACGTTCGTGCTCGGGCAATGCAAGATTAACGAGATACAAGATGGAACTCCAGACTCTAAACTCCAGGTAGGAGAAACCGTCCATATTTTCATCATTAAAACAACCTAGTCGCTCTAACATCATGCGAAGAAAAGAATTTACAAAATGCGCTAAAAATGATTTCCCCTTTTTATCACATTTTCGAGGGTGTAAAATTTTTTTTTTTAGGAGAGGGCCGCACACAGTGCTTGTCTTCGTACACTGGGAATATTTGTAACCTTCCCTTGCTACCTTACTGATACGTCATTTCATATAGATGTAGTAGATGCAGTTCTACCTCATCTGCCCTCAATACTCAAGGTATTTATATAGATGTAGTAGATGTATTTCTACCTCATCTACCCTCAATACTCAAGGTATTTATATAGATGTAGTAGATGTAGTTCTACCTCATCTACCCTCAAGGTATTTATATAGATGTAGTAGATGTATTTCTACCTCATCTACCCTCAATACTCAAGGTATTTATATAGATGTAGTAGATGTAGTTCTACCTCATCTACCCTCAATACTCAAGGTATTCATATAGATGTAGTAGATGTATTTCTACCTCATCTACCCTCAATACTCAAGGTTTTCATGTAGATATAGTAGATGTAGTTCTACCTCATCTACCCTCAACACTCAAGGTATCTATGTAGATGTAGTAGATGCAGTTCTAACTCATCTACCCTCAATACTCAAGGTATTCATATAGATGTAGTAGATGTAGTTTTACCTCATCTAACCTCTATCTATCTATCCATATATCTATCCATGTATCTACCCATATATCTATCTATCTATCTATCTATCTATAAATCTCTAGGATAAGAAGGGTAAGATCGTCCCTGATCCTGGAGGAAAGACTGTTCGTGTAAACGCTTCTTGGGCTCTAGCAAACCTAACAGATATCCTGGTTCAGGCTAAACAGGAGATGATTAGAACAGGTGAGGAGTGTTCATTGTCTCTGTAGGACAAATCCACAAGTCACTTTATAGTGAATACCTCATATACCCTTGAAATTACGACTACAGTTCGTTTAAAGATTAACACAGTCCAGTTTTTTTCTTACTGTAAACATCGTTTTTCAGGAGATATTGACGAGTTTCCGCTTTCTTTAATACGTCGGATCCTTCAGAGCGGAATATGTTGTTCTCTTGAATCATCTCCTGCTGTTAACACGAAATCTAACGCTGTCAGGTAACACAAACATTGCTTGGGAGCTCTGTGGGTAGGAAACGGGTGCCGAGTCAAAGCACTACTGGTGAGCGCGTTGCCGAAAATCCATTTTGTGAAGTCATGTGGGGAAAGGAAGTAAAATGGGTGCGGTGCGCCTTCCCCCTTCCCGTGGCCGAATGAGTAGCGTTACTAGTCCCAGAATTGAGGGCTGGGGTTCGATGGTGTATTTTTGGACCTACGCCCATCCCCTCTACTGCCCATCCGACCTACAACCACGTGGTTTTAACAGCTGTGGTAGGTCCGATGCACTTAGACATGTGGCCGCAGCGCTCGGCCCCCTAGCCTGTCCTAGCCGCAGCGCTCGGCCCAGAAATGAGCTTGACCTAACCTAACCCGAAATGAACACTAATTTTATTAAAAATTGTGAATTGAAGGTCTGTCATGGCCGCAGCGCTCGGCCCAGAAATGAGCTCAACCTAACCTAACCTTAAATATACACTAATTTTATTAAAAATTGTTAAAATCAAAGGTCTGCCCATCCAACCTACGAAATATGCCCATCCGACGTCACCTACGAAAAATGCCCATCCGACCTACAAAAAGTGCCCATCCGACCTACGAAAAATGCCCATCCGACCTACGAAAATGCCCATCCGCCCTACAAAAAGTGCCCATCTGACCTACAAAATTGAGTGGCTGTCCGACGCTACAATTAATTATTTCTACCCTACTGCGCTATAGGCATATGACAAAAGCTGCTGATAGGTCGGATGGGCAATAAGATATGCCCATCCGACCTACAGCTGTCGTAGGTCAGATGTTGCAGTAGGTCGGATGGGCAGTATAGCGGATGGGCAATAGGACGGATGGGCAGTAGAGCGGATCAACATTACCCTGGGGTTCAAACCCTCGTCCCAATAAATTACTATCAAAGTTGCCATATACAATATACATTTTTACCGGAGGTATTAAATTTAATTACAATCGTTGTCGGAGGTCAATACATTGAATGACCCAACATGCAAACCTGCCAGTACTTAAATAGGTCAGGGATCGATTTAATGAATTGGATAGAGGTAGCTAAACTACCACTGGTTCAAATCCTGAATTACTATTGAAATTCCCATCAAGCTTTAGCTATGAATTGTTGATTCAGGGTTTGAACCAACAGCAGGTAGTTCAGCGAACACATCTCCTATTCATTCAATTCCGTCCTAGGGGTGATATATTTATTAATAAGGCTCTGTGCAGTATGCGGGTCCATGAGACAGTTGTGCCAAACTTCTCTGATACGCAAACCTTACCCCATTTATCTACAAAACCACACAACCATGTTTTCATTGTTAGAATGTCCGATAAGATAATTATTTAGCATGAATTAGGAGTATAAAGAATGACAAAGGTCAGATTAAATCTTGAAAAGCATATTACACAGTATAAAAGGGAAACCTAAAAAGCGTCAAACAAAAATGCATAGAAAGGACGGATTAAAGATCAAATTAAATAGTGAACAAAAAAGGGCGGCAGAATGGAAAAACAGGAATTTAAAATCTTAAAGAAAGAAATATTGGAAAGGAAACTTTGATAAGAATTATCAAGAACGGATAGATAAACTTGGAATTAAATATGTTAAGAAAACCAAAAACTTATTTTTTTATAAAAAATGGTGAGGGTATAATTTGAATTATTCTATTTTCAGGATAATTGGAAACATGCTGAATTATATAAATGAAGATTTACTTTCAGTCCAAGAATATCAGGTAAACTTGGGAAATATTAAACCATTTAGAAATTAGGAAATATGAAACCATTTAGAAATTAAGAAATATGAAACCTTTTAGAAATTAGGAAATATGAAACCATTTAGAAATTAAGAAATATGAAACCATTCAGAAATTAGGAAATTTGAATCCATTATTTGTAATTATAAAACCATATGAAAGTTTAAAAATGATTTTGAAATTTTAAACTATTTGAAAATTTGGAAATGATTTAGAATTATGAAACTGTTTAGAAATTTGGTAAAGATTTGGAATTATGAAACCATATGGTAATTTGAAAATTATTTTTAAAAATGTCTCCTGAACGAAAAATGTATTTTAAAGTTTTAAGGAAATGATGGATAAAGGAACCAGGGCAATAATTTCAAATATTAGCGGCGGAAAGATCATGAAAATCCGATGGAACGCTTGCTACGCCGCGGCGAATATTCTTCGGAAACCGGATGTTCGGGAGACCAGCGGCGAGTGGATTAAAGATCTGGTTTTCTGTCTCTCCGACACTGTTCTCAATTTTCAAAATTTTAAGGTAAAAGTATTTAAATATTCTTGAAATATATATTATTCATATGTAAACAAACAAAGTTACTCACAAAGGATGAGACTTCAGAGACAACTGGACTGAATTTAATTAATACTTCTTTATATTTATGATTTTATGCATGTTAAAACTAGTTTTTTATTTGCCAAATCATTAAGTGATTTATTAAGATACTAACTCAAAGGAAAAGATTAAGTTTAGAATTCAGATTTTCCCATTTAAAGAGTTTGAGGACGTCCCTAAGTCCCATGCTATCTAACTACAATTTAAGCCTTCACTAAATAAACAAAATTATATTTTAGGTTCGGATAAATGCTGCCTATGCTCTGGGTTGCATCTGGAGCAGGGAGGTTCTTGGAACCCAATTCCTTCCTGTCCTTCAGTCTCTAGTCTCCAGCCTAGAGTCCTCGCAGAACCTCGAGGTCTTTGGGGAATGGCAGCATCAAGCAAACTTAGGTATAAGATCTAGCGAGGTCAAATAAATAAAAACCATGTCTTATGATAGGTTTCATAATTTCCTACCATTTTTTCTTGGGGAAAACCCCACTTAAACAATTTTGAAATCTGCATTTTAAGAACTTATTTGGCTTTCAAAAAAAGATTTTAAAGTCAAGAAGTAACCTTTTAGAAAAGGACTTGTTCATAAAAACATGCATTTCATTTGTTAAAGACGAATTTGTTTTACAGTTTTTAATAATTCTGTAAATTTTAATGATTGTTTTGATAATAAGATTTTAATCCTTTTTTTCCATTTCCTTTTTCTGTTAAGAAAGAGTCTGTATGATGTTACAGTTTTGTGCATAAATATTATGTTTAGTAAACCAACTTTGTTTAACCATCTGCCGTCTTCTCTCAGCCGTGCAGAACCAATCAGAATTTAACAAGTGAGAAAATTTATCATTTCTGTAGATCAAGGATAATTTTGATCTTTTTTATAAATCAAGTTCCCCCTCCTGAGATTTCCTCCCTTTTTGTTGTAAAGTTTTTTTAATTAACCAATTAAATATTAACATTTTAGTGAAAAAAACTTCCAAACAGTGATAACATTTTTCCTTTTCCCCCAAAAAGCTTCATGAAAATTGCCGCAAGTGCAGTATTATAGAGAAAAGTTTTAGGGTTTATTTGATCCCATTGTGTCAAACAATTATACACCAGAAAAACGTCTCATACATCTCAAATGAATCCCGAAAAATTATATGATACTGGACTATCAGCTTAACTTCAATATCTAGCCAGACACTTCTTTAAACAAAATATTTCTAGATGTGCTGGTATGCTGTTTGAAAACTGGGACATTGTGGAATCATCATTCCAGAACTCTGCTAGAAGAATATCTCCAGATAAATTTGACCCTTTTCTTCAGGCCTATACTCATATAGCAGGGTTTAATTCAAGGTTAGTTCATTTCTCCAGGTATATACTCATATAGCAGGGTTTAATTCAAGGTTAGTTCATTTCTCCAGGTATATACTCATATAGCAGGGTTCAATTCAAGTTTAGTTCATTTCTCCAGGCATATACTCATATAGAAGGTTTAATTCAAGGTTAGTTCATTTCTCCAGGTATATACTCATATTGCAAGGTTCAATTCAAGGTTAGTTCATTTCTCCAGGCATATACTCATATTGCAGTGTTCAATTCAAGGTTAGTTCTTTTCTCCAGGTATATACTCATATTGCAAGGTTCAATTCAAGGTTAGTTCATTTCTCCAGGCATATACTCATATTGCAGTGTTCATTTCAAGGTTAGTTCATTTCTCCAGGTATATAATCATATTGCAAGGTTCAATTCAAGGTTACTTCATTTCTCTAGGTATATACTTATAAAGCAGGGTTTAATTCAAGGTAGTTCATTTCTCCCGGTATATACTCATATAGCTGGGTTCAATTCAAGGTTAGTCTATTTCTCCAGGTATATATATACTCATATAGAAGGGTTCAATTCAAGGTTAGTTCATTTCTCAAGGTATATACTGATATAGCAGGGTTCAATTCAAGGTTAGTTATCCCCAGGTATATACTCATATAGCAGGGTTTAATGCAAGGTAAGTTCATTTCTCCAGGCATATACTCATATAGCAGGGTTTAATTCAAGGTAAGTTAACTTCTCCAGGTATATACTCATATAGAAGGGTTTAATTCAAAGTAAGTTAACTTCTCCAGGTATATATATACTCATATAGAAGGGTTCAATTCAAGGTTAGTTCATTTCTCAAGGTATATACTCATATAGCAGGGTTCAATTCAAGGTTAGTTCATTTCTCCAGGTATATACTCATATAGCAGGGTTTAATTCAAGGTTAGTTCATTTCTTCATGCCTATACTCATATAGCAGGGTTTAATTCAAGGTTAGTTCATTTCTCCAGGCATATACTCATATAGCAGGGTTTAATTCAAGGATAGTTCATTTCTCCAGGCATATACTTATATAACAGGGTTCAATTCAAGGATAGTTCATTTCTCCAGGTATATACTCATATAGCAGGGTTCAATTCAAGGATAGTTCATTTCTCCAGGTATATACTTATATAGCAGGGTTCAATTCAAGGTTAGTTCATTTCTCCAGGCATATACTCATATAGCAGGGTTCAATTCAAGGATAGTTCATTTCTCCAGGCATATACTTATATAGCAGGGTTCAATTCAAGGATAGTTCATTTCTCCAGGTATATACTCATATAGCAGGGTTCAATTCAAGGTTAGTTATCTCCAGGTATGAAGTTTTTCTTAAGAATATGAATTAACAATTATAAATTAATAAATTAATAAAAACCATGTGTGTCTTTCTATGAGACTTTTGAAGTAAGTTCTAAGCTTTGCATTATATTTCTTTCAAATGCAAAAATGCAAATGCAAAAATGACCCTAACACAGTTATTGGCAGAAATTTAATTTCCATTGCAAATGATTGTTTTGTAAATCTATCTGATCTTAGTAAAATCTTAGTTTAGAAACAAATGAAATATTTTGATGTCCCATTGGACCATGCCTGGAAAGTTCCGGTTTTACAAGGACTATTAAAGTAAGAATGAATAGTTTATATGCTGAAGGATTCGAATATTACGTAATAACTGAAATGATAAATATGTTATGTAATGAGTAATGATCAATGTCGCCTATTTTAAATAATTTTGCATATTTTTCTTTACCTTTTGTAAAACTATTTATTCGAAATATTTAAACAAATTTAAATTACACCATTTATATATGTACTAGCTGAATGGCCCACCGTTGACCTTGAAAAAAAAATGCCGAATTTTTTATAGCCTTTAATACTCCCCGGCACCCCTGAGTGTCCACAAAAAATGCCCAATCGGTCCAGCCGTTTGGCCGGCTATAGGCAACATATATATATTTACGAATGTCTTGTTTTATTATATAGATGTATAGCTTTGTGTGTGAAGAAAGCTTATAATAATAATATTTTTCATTTACTTCTTTGTTTAGGAGCGAAGAGGAATCCCAGGTGCAAACCTTGCTCAAGAATTGTACAGAGAATATCGGAGACTAAACCTTACTTAAGAACTATACAGAGAATATCGGAGACTAAACCTTACTCAAGAACTATACAGAGAATATCGGAGACTTAAACTTGCTCAAGAATTGTATGCAGAGTACTGGAGACTAAACCTTGCCTAATGAGATATTGATTATTGATATCATTTTTAATATCCATCCCTAGAAAAATTAACATTCCCGACTCCTTTTTCCTTATGCCAATATGATATTGAAACAATTAGATAAATAATTAAATATTGATAATTATTATGAATGGAACTTTGTTTCTTTATTAAAATTTAATTTTTTAAGAACTTTTTTGATATTCATCCATATACTGCATTTAAACCTGTTTATAATTGTTTGTTGATATCCATGATAAACCTGTTTTACATCCATGTTATTGCTTTCAGATAAGATGTACCGGTCTAACCGAGGGTACCCTGGCCCAGGGGGGTTCATGGGACATGAGACCCTTGAAGAATCTAATCAGCAGATGGAAGGAGAACTCAAGGAAATAATTCAGATCAGATTTTAACACAAATAAGATTTTGTTTTGTGAGATTTTAACACAAATAAGATTTTGTTTTGTGAGATTTTAACACAAATAAGATTTTAGTCTCTACAAATTCATTTATTATATTGAATTCTGCTAAAAATTAAATCAAATCAAATCATGAGTGTTGGGGAAAGCTTTAGGCTCCATTTCTCAGACTGGAGTTTCCAGTCCCGATTGAGTAGTGGTTTTTCAGCCCGGATATGAATTCAATTGTGGCATTTGCGATGTATCCTGTTAAAGGTCAATTTTCAAGGTTTGACGGTATGATCCCAACAACATGACCAAGTTTGAGCCATGCAACCATTTTTACCTCCCCTTCGTTCATGCTAAATGATTGTCAGAAGATCAAACTCTGATCAAAGCAATGCCAATCATTCGTAATTTCAAATTATGGGGAGTGTCCGACATACAACCTTTTTCAACCAAGAGTGAATGAGATAATTTTTTTTTCTAGCTGAGAATTGATTTTTGATTGTGGGTTCTCTGTTAAAGTTACTTGCGGATTAATGCTCAAAAGATAATGAAGGAAAGGACCTCACTAGTCTCCTAGAGTTTGTAATAACTCTTGTAATAATAGAGATAAATGGTGCTAACTTTGCACCTATATTCTTTTAATCCATAAGGGGCATAAAAAAATTTCAAATTTTTTTTTCTCTTGATCAGGGGCGTAGAAAGGGAGGTCCAAAACAGGTATTTATAAATATTTTTTTGCCGATGTATCATTATTGTTTTCAAGATTTTAGGTCTGACAGAATATTAGACCATGACAAAATAGCCTAACAAGGACAGATTCAGCTTGCAGGAGGAGCCCTGTATGGTTCAGGGGCTAAAAAGCCAACAGTCAGGGGGGTCCTTTGATCCACATCAGACTCCTGAAAAATGAAGAGGAATCAGTGCCAATAATGCAAAATTAAATAAAAAAAGGCAAGTAAAATTCTAAAAATGTTTTGTAGTTATTTGAATTGATAAATCATAAATATATACTTCTTCAGGGGCGTTAAGAGGAAAAATATCACTAAACACTNCATTTTGGATCTTTAAGCTATTGAAGACACTTCCTAAAGGATTGTATGGTTTAAAATATTATAAAATTATTATTTTCTTACTTTTAGACTAATGAAATCCAGGAGGGGAGTGTTTAGTGATATTTTTCCTCTTAACGCCCCTGAAGAAGTATATATTTATGATTTATCAATTCAAATAACTACAAAACATTTTTAGAATTTTACTTGCCCTTTTTTATTTAATTTTGCATTATTGGCACTGATTCCTCTTCATTTTTCAGGAGTCTGATGTGGATCAAAGGACCCCCCTGACTGTTGGCTTTTTAGCCCCTGAACCATACAGGGCTCCTCCTGCAAGCTGAATCTGTCCTTGTTAGGCTATTTTGTCATGGTCTAATATTCTGTCAGACCTAAAATCTTGAAAACAATAATGATACATCGGCAAAAAAATATTTATATATATAGATACCTGTTTTGGGCCAAATACCCCCCTTTCTTTGCCCCTGATCAAGAAAAAAAAAATTTGAAATTTTTTTATGCCCCTTATGGATTAAAAGAATATAGGTGCAATGTTAGCACCATTTATCTCTATTATTACAAGAGTTATTACAAACTCCAGGAGACTAGTGAGGTCCTTTTACTTCTAGAATCAGACGATTAGTTGCTAAATAAATAGTAATAGTAAAACAGACATACTCAGAAAGACCCCGAATTAATTTACATAAATATCTCTGGTAATTTTAAACGCACAATAGAAGCAGACCACATTTTAGTATTAATTATAAATTAATTCCTAATTAATTATAAATTAATTCCTAATTAATTATAAATTAATTATAAATTAATTCTTGATCTTTCTGGCGGATGACTGTTGACTAAAAAATTAAAATCTGATTGTTTTGTGTGAAGGGTAAGATTGGTGCACTGAAGAGTTTATCAATTAATATAGGTGTAGAGGTCAGAGAACAGAATAGGTAAATACTTGTTTACACTCCCTAATAGAGTAGAGGTCAGAGAACAGAATAGGTAAATACTTCTATACACTCACTAATAGAGTAGAGGTCAGAGAACAGAATAGGTAAATACTTGTATACACTCCCTAATAGAGTAGAGGTCAGAGATGTGCATTTCTCACCTAATTTTCAATTAGGTCCTCACGCCAAATGCCGGACGCAGGCTCAGTCATCATACCCATTTCTCACGCGCTTGTTTCTGTAAATATCCACAGTTCATTTATACTCTAGGAACGAGGAAGCACGTCTTGCGGTGGAAACTGAAAAGATAAATCACAATATTAATCAGNTAGAGGTCAGAGAACAGAATAGGTAAATACTTTTATACACTCCCTAATAGAATAGAGTAGAGGTCAGAGAACAGAATAGTTAAATACTTTTATACTTTTATAGTTTTCTACGGATATCACTGTTGCCAGTTTTTTTAGACTTAAAATCTGGTTTATTTCTTTTATCTTTAATTTTTTTAAATTTAAATTTCCTGTCAACTTTTAAACCCTATTTCGTCATTTTTTTATTTAGATGAGAATTGTTGGTGAAATTCAATGAAGCCATTCACATTTTGTTTATAGACGAATAGTTTGTTTGTTCGCTTATTTGCACATAATTATTTTGTAACATTTTTTGCATTGTGCTGCGAAAAGTAGCTGAATATCATATTTTTTCAAATACTATCGTTTAATATATCTTTTTTAAATATTGTTAAAATCTTACATATCTATATATGAAATAAGACATTCATATATATGTTGCGTATAGTCGGTCAAACGGCTGGACCGATTGGGCTGATTTTTTTTTGTTGCCACTCATGGGTGGTGATATAGGCTAAAAAAAAATTCTTAATTTTTTTTCAAAAATTTTTTTTTTTCACGGGCAACGCCGGGCCCTTCTAGTTACTAATGAAGTTGATGATAAGAAGAATTTTATATTGGTTTTCGTCATTGAAAGTCGTATCTTTAGACCTTTTGTATTCCGAACGATGTGTTTGTAAAAACTAAAATAAATTGGCTTGGAAAAAGGCTGTCTCTAATGGGTGTAGGATATTTTAACCTATATTTAAAACAGATTTTGAATTCAAACTTTTCACATCATCTTCCTATGCATGAATAAGATAATTTTGATTCTTTAACTCATTATTTTGGTTAAAAATGTGTTTTCAAATTTTCTACTTTCTAGGTTGCTCAATGAAATGGATGATGGTTTTGATTCAACGGCTTCCTTGTTTACAAACACCATTGGGAAACTTTCCAGACTAGGTTAGAATCATTTTACTGCAAATGGGGGGGGGGGTTGCAACATCGTTTTTGTCACGTGAGGTTTGGTGGAAGTTTGGAAGGGACTGTCTATGTTTTTTAGATTTCGCTTTAATAATAAAAAAACTGCAACATTATCATCTTTTCTCAGAAAAAGAAGCTATCGCTGTGAATCTTTTATGGCACTCATGAAATTAAGGTGCAATCATTTAAAGTGTCCCTGTTTCCTGTAATAAAGATTTGTAAGATTTTAAACCTTGCTACAAGCTAGAGGATCATGATCGGGAGATGTGTAGGACAAATACTCTGATCTTGATTTCATATCTTTTGATGTCATTTGATATCATTTGGTTTCATTTGGTTTCATTTGATATCATTTGATATCATTTGATATCATTTGATATCATTTGATATCATTTGGTTTCATTTGGTTTCATTTTATATCATTTTATATCATTTGATATTATTAGTCATTTGATATCATTTGATATCATTTGATATCATTTGATATCATTTGATATCATTTGGTTTCATTTTACTTCATAGACTTCATTTGGTTTCATTTGGTTTCATTTTATATCATTTTATATCATTTGATATTATTAGATATCATTTGATATCATTTGATATCATTTGATATCATTTGGTTTCAGTTTACTTCATAGACTTCATTTGCTTTCATTTGATTTCATGTGAAAACGTGAAAAAGTCGTATTTTTTTTTTCCAAAACGCTCGCGTACAAATTTGCTCTGATCTATTTGAAATTTCATTTTGCAAACATATTAGTGTGTTCGCATGCAAAAAATCAGCGCCCTACGACAATGTTAAGTTATGTTTAACCATCGTTAAAATTTTCCGGAGAGTGATTTCATGTGATTCAATTAGAATTGATTTTATTTAATTTGATTGGAATTGATTTTACTTCAAATTATGTTATTTGAAGAATCCTCTACTGTTTAATTTTAGTAAAGAACCGGCCCCGGCAGTATATCTACTATCTTCTACTCTTCTGCCTCTTCGTCTTCCTTGTTCTCTGGTTCTATATCAGATAGAACATCGGGGACATAGGATACTGAGGATTTAAGAAAATTTATGGACATAAAATTCGAAAAACGCTCTTCAACGGACTAAAGAAATTAGGAAACGAGAGAAAGAAATCGAATTTTAAATAATTTTGTTCTCTTTATTTTGTAAAGCTAAATTCATTTTCATTATTTCCATTTAACTTTCTAAAGAAAAAAAATATTTATATTGCCTTTAATCAATCTGATTCTCTTAAAACTCATCAAATAATGTTTTTGTCCCGACACTGCTGTCACAAGATATGGTCCGTAGCTTTCAATAATTTTTTTTAAAACAAATTTTGTCAATTTCCATAATTTTAAACATAATTTATCATTTTTAAATTTTGAAGATTTTACTATAAATATATTTATTTTTAGTTTTCTTTAGTTAAAATACATTCATAGCTATTGATTCTGTTAGCAATTAAGTTATAAAAATGTTGTTTAAAAATTAAGAACCAGAGCTAAGATGGAGTTGAACTACGTAGCTTAATTTGTGAAACATCTGATTTCTGATCATTAATCTGTTATTGGTGCAATCTCTAAATTTTGACCAATGTAGGAGTAGGGGGTTGAATAAGGCTATGAAGTTAATCTGACGACTAAACACGAGATAAACTCATCTAGTCCATTTTAAAGTTTTTAGCTCAGCTCCGGTTTGATGTTTACTGTGATAAATTTAAACTGAAACTGTTTCGGATTTAGTAAAATGTATATTTATTGTAATTTCTGAGTACTGATACATGTACTGCTTTGTAAGGCAAAACTTAGTACAGTAGTACAATACAAGTGGTACATAAAACTCAAGTGCAATTATTCTGATAGTGTTCAATACATTGTACATGGAACTGCATTGCACTGAAATTGCCAATATGATTGTGAAATTTTATGTGATACTTTAACATAATTAGCTGTCAAAATGTAAAATAAATCCAGTGTGAAAAGTCAACATGAAATTGTATTACAAGCTAAATTTTTGGATTATGGTCTACTTTTGTATAACTAGTTCTAAATGAGAATGCCGCAATTGTTTTTAAAATTTTCACAAGTTGCTACAATTTCAGATAAAATGGCGCGGCAAGGCGCAGCTCTGCAAAATTATAATAATGAGCTGGTCAAATCGTTGGAAGAACTTTGTCAGAGGAGGCACAATCTTCAGGTAAAAACTGAATTTAAAAATATCCAAACTTTTTTCACGAAATAATGTTCTCTATTTAACAATCCAAATTTCTTTATAAATACATTTAAAAAATATGTGATGGAATTAGGACTTGATTAAACATTCGATTCGATTCGATTCGATTCGATTCGATTCGATTCGATTCGATTCGATTCGATTCGATTCGATTCGATTCGACGATTCGATTTGATTAGATTCGATTCGATACAATTTTATTTTGTTTTGTTTTCTTTTGTTCAACATTTAGAACCTAATAGATGTGGAAGAGGCAGAAAAGCGGAAACTAGAGGAAGAAAAAAGAAGAATAGATGAAAGATTACAGGTAAGCAGAGCAAACTTTTCAAATAATCTTCATAAACAATAATCACTTGGGAATCATAAAATTTTTGTATGATTTTATAATCCAATAAAACATATTTATTTATTTGATATTTATTATGAAACATATTAGGTTGTGACTACTGGTTTAGAGCAAAAACTAGGAACTAAAGCAGAATATGACCGAGTCATTGGAGAGGCAGAAGGAGCATACATGAAAATCCTCGAGTCTAGCCAGGTAAAGAAAAGTTTAATTGCTTAATTGACTGACTGACTGACTGACTGACTGACTGACTGACTGACTGACTGACTGACTGACTGACTGACAGACAGACAATCAATTCATAAACAAATGTTAGATATGTCCTTGGTTTTTATCTTGTCAAATCTATGTCTACCAAAAGCTTTTTTATTTGTGCATATTTCATTAAAAGAGAAAGTTAAATATACCTAATTATTTTATTAATTAAGATTTTATTGAATGCTGTGAAATTACGGAGTGATGATCTGAAAACCTCTGGGAGCAGGAACAATCTTAAGGTCGGTTTTAAAGGGACCGTTCCGTTACTTAGTCCCTAAAGTCCAATATATTTATAGCCGTAGAAAAAGACGATTTCTGTGTGGAAATTGTGTGAAAATACTTAAATAAGGGACTGCTCTTTTAATCTGTAATAATTTACAATTTTGATGACCTGATTTTTTAGATGTACTGAATGTGATTGGTTTTAGGAAAAATGGTTTAACTGCACTTTTCTTAACTTTATTTCCTCCGCCCTTTTTCTTTGATATTTTATGTAAGGAAGTTTTTTTTCTGAATTAAAATTACCAGAATTGTGAACTACTTCGGGTTTGGGGAGTGGGAGGAAAGCAACTTGATTGGATTGGATTGGATTGGATTGGATTGGATTTTGGAGGAAACCATGTAAGTTAATATTCTCTTTAACATCTTTTTCTTTTTAATTAATTTTTTTAAGGTTTCCTCGACAACTCCTGACTCTGGGTACCATCAGAGCTCAAACCAACCAGACTCGAGACCCTGAGAACCAAATCCGTTCTTCTATTAGTATTCCGTCCACATTTATGCAGACAATTGAGAAGGAAACACCTTGTTTGCTATTGTTTATTTTCTCATCAACTGACACAGATTTATTATTTACGTTTTGCAATCCTACTTTCTGAGATATTAAGAAGAGTTGTAACAATGCGAAGAACACGAAATTTTACTTTCTGATCTCATCTGACATTTTTTGTTTTGTTATACGCACATTTTAAAAGGACCTGATTTAGCTATGATATAATTATGCAACATAAAAATTATTTTGAGATATTTGCTTTCAATATTTGTGAAAAGCATTTTTCTTAAAATTTGTAGAAATTTTATCTTTAAACAAAAATAATTTATTATTATTTATTAAAAAGTACATCTGTGTATTTAATCGACCATTTTATCAAATATTTGAACGTTTTACAGTAGTACCTTTAATATATATATAACAATATTGTTAAACGCTTATGGGTATTGCTAACCCTGCAATCTAAAAATAAATACAGTGCAAATCATAAGACTGTGCAGAGTTCACAGACGAATTAAGTTGATTATTAATCTACTGGTATATTATTTGCTCTATTACAAAATCAAATACACGAAAATTACTTAAAGGTCGTTCTCCTGTTCTGTTATAAATTTATGTATATTATTGTACGAAGAATTGTTGGGACGGGTGGTTACTTGTGAGCAATTAACGTTACGGGGTGGGCACTGGTCTTAAAAGTCATAATTTGATAAATTAACTGCTTTTTATGATATGAAGAATAGCGGCCAATTTTAATTAACGTAATTACGAACTCCTTTAAGTTTCATTAGTTTAAAGATAATATTTCTTATTAATTTTCAGAAAGAATGCAGTAGACAGTTTTAGTCCCACAGCTGTGATAATTAGTGATGTCGTTTTCGGTTTGGTTTGGTTTGCTTGGAGTTGTTTGGTTTGGTTTGGTTGGCAGCGTGTTACCCGCCAAATTTTGGCACATTACCGACCTACATCTCGACTATGGATATTCTACTCAAGGAGATGCTGCTAAAATGTGCCACAAGTAAGTTTGGGGAGTTTAATTTTCTTGAAAATACACCCCCCCCCCCATTGAAATTTTTTTCTTACAGATTTTTGGTATGTTTTCAGGGATTTATTCACAAAATTGAGGAAAATAAGTAGGGTGAAAAAGCATGTTAGTGGAAATTCAATGTTCCATTTCCCCCTTAAATAATCGAAACCCATTTTTTATTTTATATAAAAATATATCCCCCTGTAGTAAGTGCTAAAGATTGTCAAAGAATGTTCAGAATGGGATTAAAATAATGTTAACTTCATATTTATGAAAACGCCAGGAAATCTTGATTTTTAGAACCTACTAGGCAGATTAAATAGCATGCCCGTCGTCCAACATTAAGTACACCGGAAGCGTCAGTAAATACTTCCCAAGCCCAGGGGGGTATACCAGCATCCGGGTCTGGAATATTTACAGCCCCAGAACAGACTCTGAGCATCAGAGACCAGAACTCTAGCTGGCCCTTGAGAGGGTTATTCATGGTGCACACATCGTGTTTGTTTTGGGAGACACCAGCTGCTCTCATAATGTGATGGACATGGAATCTGCCGCCTGGGACTAAAGGTCTTACATCCAGAATCTTCCCACAAATGCTCATCATCAAGCCTTGAGAAATTGTCATAGAGGTAGTCGCTTCTTCAATGTTATGCAGGATTCTACACAACTTCTCAGCTGGGATGGACCAGGTCCAGTTCACCGTGTCGTAGTGGACCCCAAATACCACTCCAGAAGTGCTAGGGCCAAAAGCTTTCTCCGGGTCGTCCCTTGGCGCTAGCCTAATTCCTAGCTGGTCAGTCACTTCGTAATAGCAGTTATCAAACGAGTAGATAAGTTCCGAATCCTCTGGAGCCGCTGCTACACAGTCATCTAGGTGCTGGCATACCATGTAACTGGGCATCCCCGATTTGGCGCATACTATTGCTAGTACTTGTTTGGCTAACCTGTCATAGTGTCCAACACTGCTTTTAGAGCCAAAGATTAAACAGAGCTCACAGAAAGCCATACCAAGCCAAGTAAACCATTGAAGGTTCAGGTCCTCTACCCTGACCGCCAGATGTTTGTAGGCATCAGACCAGTCCACCTTCGTCATCCGGCAGTTTCTACCTGCTCTGTTAAGTACTCTGATCCATTTCAAGGTTGACGACATGGTCGCAGGAAAATCTTTCTCGTCGATACCTTCATTCACGGACAGACCTTCCGGTGAACTGAGGTTTAGAATTATTCTAACTGACCCGTTTGGTTTTTGCTTGCACATTATTCCGTTTATTTTTGCATTTTTTGGCACTTCACCCAGAGTAATCGGCCCGTAAGCGAATCCTTTGTGAATCCAATCAGCAATAGCATCCGACACATGAGGTCCGAACTCAAAGCTGCTAGGAGCGTTTGCGCTAATTGATGGGGATCTGAATGTACCCACACATCCGATGTTCGCCCCATGTGTGAGGTCGTCACAGATTGTATCTAATAAGGCATTATTTAAACTGCACTCCCGGGCTAGTGTTTTTAAAACTTGAGGATCGACCATAGATTTTGCTGGCCATTTGAAATTTGACGGGAAGCTGTGCCAATACCATGATGGTGCGGGGTCTTTGTAGGACTCCAGAACTGTGAGACCGTGTTTCGGTCGAAACACCTTGTCAGCTGGTAATGGACTAAGTCCTGCTTCCTGAATCCCATGGATCCTGGAGATCCAGTTGCTCTTATTCCTTTTCGAGTGGTCTGAGAGTCGCCATTCTGACAAATAAGTCCAGTTGTTGACAGAAGTAGTTCGGAGGTCATTGCGGGGATACAGAAACCAACCGATAGCACTCCCCCCCACCCTCTTTGTTGTTCACACAGATTTTAAACTAAAAGATTTACACTAACCCGTATAGCAGCTAAAACTAAGTAACATACACCTCAAAACGAACTGGACTTCCACTGCCTATGTTGTGGTGCCGAAACTTGCGGTCAATGCCGCAAGAAATTCAATAACATTCCTCTCTTGTCGTCTTCGTTATCATCTATATACTCAGACTGGTGCTATGTCAATTGGACTAGTGTTCAACTCGATTAGAAAATTTCTTTATAGTAATCTACTAAGGTCAACCATTGAAATTTGAAACATATCTCTTTGAAAGATGATGCGTTCAGCAAGAAATTCAATAACCTTTCCCTCTTGTCGTCTCTGTTATCATCTATATACACAGGCTTGTGCTTTGTCGATTGGACTAATATTCAAATCGATTAGAAAATTTATTTAAAGTAATCTACTAAAGTTAACCTTTGAAATTTTGAGACATGGCTTTTGAATGATGACGCGCTCAGCAGGACTATTAATACCACAGTTCCTCTGTGCATTGTTTAAATATAGATGATTTGCTTTAGGTGAACTCACATTTTAATTCCTTGATAATGTCTATTTAGAATAATCGACTCCAATGACTATACATTTTCCGTTCTTTCAGACCTAATGCAAATTCCCTTTTAATTCACGTCTCTCGTCTTTTTTATTGTAGTCCCTTTAAAAGTATTGGTCCATGAAGATAATACTTACAAACAAGTTTTGAGTTAACATTATTCCCATACCTAATATTATTACTTAAATTCCCATGTCTCTCATTAAGTTCAAAATTTTACATACTTTCTAAGGGCCAATAATATTTCTGCAAAGATCATTTTTGGAAGAAAATTAATAATTCAGCCTTTCTTGTTCGCATAGCTTCTTCCAACCCTTTTCAATCTCTGAGTCCAAAATTATTAAAGTCTCTATTTATACGCAGAAATAAAATACATAGTTATTTATTAAATATAAAACTGTTATTATTCTGGAGCCATAGCTATTACACTCATTAAACTTTAGATTCAGTTCCCATCAGTTTCCATTAGGTTTTATCAGGTTTCAGCAGGTTTCATCCTAGAGATCAGCTAAAACTTATGAGCTGTCCTCGGGTGTTTTGCATGGCAGGGCATGTTTTTGTCCCTGATGAATACATTACAGTTGTGTGCGAATTTGTCACCTTTTGCATCTTCACATCCGGTGGAGTTCTGCTTCCTTGTGCATTTGTTATTGTTGAATTCATAGCATACCCTGAGACCATTCACTAGGACTAGTTTAGGTTTTGGGTTGGGTTTCCCCTTCCCACCGGAGCTTCCAGCCTCCGCCCTCTCTGTGATACGGCCGGAGCCGTCGTATGGGACCTCTGATCTGAGTCCATGAGCTGAGAGGGTTTCCTTCAGGATTTTCTCATGTTCCTCATAACTCAGAATACAAGCCTTATTTGCAGCTCTCTTTGCATTCAATCTCTGCACAGCATTGAAATAGGAGCAAATCACTGCTACCTTAGTACGGGAGTCCTGAGCCGCCGAGACATACCAGTATTTTAGTAGAAGCCTACCAGTAATGTTTCCACTCTGGTCTGCAGGCCAGAGCAGGTGTAGAAGGGACTTGTAGTTTTCAAGAGCCTCCTGTACTTGTCTCAGGGACTGAGGTTCAGACCAGTTAAAATCTTGGATTGTAACCACTGCTTCCTCTTCTTTCCTCCGTATCTCTTTCATTGGTTTACCGGAGACTGCTGCATTCTCCGACATGAAATGCTTCAATTCCACCACATTCCTCCTGTCGTGCATCATCAATATGGTCTTGTCCGACAGCACGTTTCCAGCACCGCTGAACTCGAGGGCTAAACCCCGGAACTTGTGGTCGTGCCGGATTGGGACCTAGAGCAAGGATACAGTTAATACAGTCTGATATCAATAGAATAACAAAATGAAAGTTAGAATTAAAATTCAAAATCTAAACTATGGAAATCAAATAAATTAAATCAAGTTTACAATTCCATGCCTCTATGTGGTAGTAGGGCCTAATTTAATGAAGCAAACCCTCAGCAGCAGTTTATCGTTCGATAGTGTTATCATTAAACCCATTAATTAAATTAAATTA